TTCGATTGCAACACAAGCAATCATCATCAGGTATAATGAAATAGCGACATAAAATCTAACCAGAAAACTATAGACAGACATATTAGCAGACAGATATCACCAAGATACATAGAGGGAGCAACACAGGTAACAGAGAGGGGTGATCATCTCTGTGGGGTGGCCTTAAATAGACAGAGGGGGGAGGAGGCAGAGAGAGGGAGGGGGTTAGAGAAAACATTTGCATATCAATGAGTGGTCAAAAAACAAGGTTCTGCAAGTGCGATGACACGGCAAGGCTGAAAATCAGGAGAAGGACAAACTAAAATTCAATAACCTAGTAAAATATCGAAATGTAATGTAATACAACACAGAGGGTCGGTCAACACACAATTAACGCATAGCCTGGTTGATTACGTATTTCAAAGATTGCTAAGTTAGAATTTAAGTGTGAACATTCCAAAGAGAAGACACAGGCAGAGAGAAGAGAGAGAGAGAAAAAAAAGGATAAGCTCAAAACTTCCCCGTAGAAGTGGTTCAATCTTAATTTTAGAACTTTCGTGACTGCAGGAATTGGGGACGGCTGCTTGCGTTGTGGCCGAAACGTCGTGAGAATTATTTTATTGTTTTATTTTTATTATTTTATTACTTCCCTTCTACGTGACTTTACCGATAGAACCAAGAAGATGAATCCCTGCAGTCACGAAAGCTTTAAATCGAAAAGACCCCAGATTATCAATGGCTTGAGTCAACCCCCGACCAGGTTGCGAACTTCACTTCACCGCTTAACCAGCTGGCCGTACAAAGTAGTCCACTGAACCCTTTCCCATTCTGAGACGTCTGCAAGTTGCACGGTGGGGTCCCGTTCACCGCCGAATCTCGGAACGCGCACGTGGTTCAGCGTAAATTCTAATTTTGAGGCTTAGTAGCGCCGCCGTTGTTTTTTAAAGACGCTGTACTCGCCGCAGAGAACTGGAGCGACACACCCGCGCTCTACGATCGCTGACGCCAAACTGTGCCACACGCTCTCCGGCATGGCCTTGTAGGAGCCTCGGTACCGATAAAGTCACTTTGTCTTGGGTTTTCTTCCGGTTTCGTTTTAATTGCGTCATCGGAATGGAATAGGAAGATGAACAGATGACGTACACGTACGTCGAAAGGGTTCATTGATTAATTGTCACAGTCAAGAATTGATTTGACATTCAACGGCTAATATGCTCTCAAGAGTGCAGCACAGTGGTTAGCGCACCTCCGCTTAGCACGGCTGGCTATGCATGGCGTGAAAGAAGTTTAACATGCATACAATGCACGACAAATGTCGGAGATCCGACTTCAATTCCCAGCCATGGCCAACATCAGTGGTGAGTGACACCCCAAGCACTGTTCCTCGCCAACCCACGCCGACCAGCGTGGTGAAGAAGTATGGTTGGTGTACAGTGCTTTTTATGCGATATTTTGCCGTCTTTTCTTGGATTTTCTGTTTGCACATAGTCACATTAAGATGCTTTCTTGTTCATGTTTTTGTTTTTTAAATCCTTTATATTAAGTTCGCGTGCTTGCTTGCTTGCTTAGGACCGTGCAAATCTTTCGGTCGTTTTTTAACCCACTTCCCGTGATCCAATCGAGCTGACATTTTCCACACAGACTCGTTGTGCCAGACAATTATTGTTCGTGAAAAAAAATTCCCAAAATTTTACACTTTTTAGGAAAAAATAAATGATATTTAATTACCAATTGCTTAATGGTGGCAGGCAATCATCTGACCCATAGGTGGCAGCCATCTCAAGCCAGAGGACGAGAGGACTCTAGCCGCCACGCATATAAAGGATTTATAGTGAAACACTTTGTTATTACGGGTTATTTTTTTCCGTCTCAAACTCAGCACACGGGGTGTGCGGATTCATACGCAAAACATCACCATGAGTGAACAACAACAAGAAGAAATAAGTATAACCCGTAAAAACAAAGTTTTTCACTCTAAATCCTTTATATGCGTGGCAGCTAGAGTCCTCTCGTCCTCTGGCTTGAGATGGCTGCCACCTATGGGTCAGATGATTGTCTGCAGATATAAACAATTGGTAATTAAATATTTAATTTGTTTTCCCTAAACAGTGTAAAATTTTGGAATTATTTTTTTCGTGAACATTCATTGTCTCGCACAACGAGTCTGTGTGGAAAATGTCAGCTCGATTGGATCACGGGAAGTGGGTTAAAAAACGACCGAAAGGTTTGCACGGTCGTAAGCAAGCAAGCAAGCACGCAAGCAAGCAAGCGAACTTAATATAAAGGATTTAAAAACCGGCACCGCGAAATAATTTACAAAGCCCCCCCCCCCCCCCGGCCTCAAAACCCTCAACAATGTAACAATTTGCTTCCTCAATCTCAAGTATTGAGGAAACAAGTCGGAGAGAGGTTTTGGTTAACCGCGTCGTTTCCCTCGTGGTTTCACTCTTCCTCTCAGCGAATGTGTTCCGTTCGGCTGGGCCAGACTGCAGCGAGTGGCACGGACACTGAAGTCGGCGCAGTCGTAGCCAGCGGTATACTGGACGTGGTGTGCCGGGGTGAGGGTCGCTGAGCTAGGCAGACCCGGGTTGACATTCGAGCCCCGGTGTCATTTGTGTTTGAACGGAACGCGCCGTGAGAGTTTCTGAGACGAGAGTGTAAGACGGTGGTTGCTTCGATTCTCATTGAGCGAAATTGATTTTCACGGTTGTGTGATGGCTGCATCATGTTAGTGCGCGGTCTGCGTCGATAATACAGGAGGGCCCAAAAGTCGGGACACACAAAGGGTTATTATGTTATATTTTAACACGAACATAAAAACATTCTAATTATTCTGGGTTCTTTCGGTAAAGTCACGTAGAAGGGAAATAATAAAAGTAAAATAATACAATTCTCACGTTTCAATTGCAACACAAGCAATCATCATCAGGTGTGAAAACCACACCTCTGATGATTGTCTTGCTGTGGTTTTCACACCTGATGATGATTGCTTGTGTTGCTATCGAAACTTTGTGAGAATTGTATTGTTTTATGTTTATTATTTCCCTTCTACGTGACTTTACCGACAGAACCAAGAATATGAACCCCTGCAGTCACGAAAGCTTTAAATCCAAACGTAATTATTGTTTTATTTACGTTAATATTGCATCTGTGATCGTTGTCAACGTCAACGATTCGTCTTCCTTTTCAGATGACATTTAAAAATGGAAATGAATTTGGCTGCATTGAGACACGAAGCCATAGTTGACGAATGTTCAAAGATTCTACTTGTAATCTTTCTTTTAAATCCGAAACTCATTTCCACAGAGAATTCACGCTTGCGTTAACGTTAATGGTTGTCCGTTTGCACATTTGTGAAAATAGATTAAATAACCCTATGAGATTCGTTACAAAAATATACGCCCTACCCTGTCCTGAATTTTGGGTCACCCTGGACACTTTTTTAAAACTATTCGCGTAAACTTTGCAGCCACCAGAGGGCGCTATATTCACGACAATGGGCAAACATTGGTTGAAAAAATGATAGAAATAAAACAAGAAGTCTTGAGATAATTGTTTTTTTATCCTTTTATCTGGCAACAAAACTGACACCTTTTTTTACAAGGAGTCATGTTTGCATTGACCACAATACCTGCGGTCGGAATGCAAACAAAAAACACAACTCTGATAATGTATGCACTGTCCTTGAACTTGATTGGTCCACACCCGAGACAGCTTTTCTTAGAGCCTAGTCTCACATGGTGTTGGACCAGATGACGCCAAAAGGCGCACGACTCAAAGACAATGCACCATCAGAGTATGAGAGCTCGGGGTAAGCATTTACACCATTGGAACCTCCTTTGCCAGTAGCAAAATATGATAATTGTTTTTTTACCATTTTATCTGGCAACAAAACTGACACCTTTTTTACAAGGAGTCATGTTTGCATTGACCACAATACCTGCGGTCGGAATGCAAACAAAAAACACCTGATAATGTATGCACTGTCCTTGAACTTGATTGGTCCACACCCGAGACAGCTTTCCTTAGAGCCTAGTCTCACATGGTGTTGGACCAGATGACGCCAAAAGGAGGTTTCAAAATGTTGAGATGTTCAAACCCCAAATAGAAACCTTTTGCAAGTATTCAAGTAACTGCATTGACCACATACGGTACTTGTGGTGAACATGCAAACACACGTGTTCTAAAACATGCATCGCCTTCGAAACTGATTGGCCTACACCATAGACAGCCTTCTCTAGGGCCTAGCCTCACCAGTGGCAGACCAGAGAACACCAAAAGGCGAACAGGACCAGGACAATGTACAGAGCATTGATAGCTCGGGTGTGAACAGCCGTATCATGGGTTACCTTTTTTTGCCAGTTTCAAAGTATGAAAAATAAGAATAGCTTTTACCCTTGCTGAAAAAGCAAAATGATGTTTTACCCTTTGACTTAAAGCTTTCGTGACTGCAGGAATTTATATTCTTTGGGTCTTTTCGGTAAAATCACGTAGATAGGTTAAAAGAAAATAACAACAAAAAATGACGTTTCGATCGCAACACAAGCGGTCGTCATCGGGAAGGAAAAAAAAAGGGGGACAGTGATTAAACCTTTTAAACAGTCTGCTTGTGTTGCGATCGAAACGTCGTAGTTTTGTTTTTTTCTTTGAACCAATCTACGTGACTTTACCGAAAGACCCAAAGAATATGTTTTATCCTTTCTTTGCTAGAAAGGTGTAAACCCTATTCTTATTTCGATTTAAATCTTTCGTGACTGCAGGGATTCATCTTCTTGGTTCTTTCGGTAAAGTCATGTAGAAGGGAAATAATAATAGTGAGAATTGTATTTAATAATGTTTTATTTTTATTATTTTATTATTTCCTATTCTTATTATTTTTCATACTTTGCTACTGGCAAAAAAAGGTCCCATGATATGGCCAAACATTGGTTTTACTTGGAACCAATCGCAAATGAGGGCAAATTGTCCCCGCGTGTAGCTTGTACAAACAAAGAAGAGACATTTCACAATTTATATTCACAAAAAAACTTTATTTCCATTTGTAGCATTTCAGCTTTCGCAAAGAGCACAAAATATGGCGAGTAATTTATTTTCTTCTTCTTTAAAGTTACTCAGAATAAACTATTACAGCAAGGGGATGGGTCTATAGTTACAAATGGCTGTGAAGAGAGAATGATCCAAAGAATGACTTTTTTAATTCCTGCAAAAGCAAAATAAGTCAGAAAAACTGAAAACACTCACCTACGTAGAAATGTGGATTTTTTTTTTGCTTTACAGATCTTTTTTCTTTGAAGTTTATATACAAGATATGGAGCGAGTGTCTAGTTGATTTTTTTATCGCTGTAACAGATGATACACCTTTATTCTGCAGCATAAAAACACTTAAAGCCTAAACATCCAAATCACCACTCCCGTTCATTTGCATTTAAACTTATTATTTTTAAGTCCCAAGTTAGAGGCAGTACGAATAATAATAATTAAAAAGTTGGCCATGACTTGTTTGACAGCACACCAGATAAATTGTTAGGCCTTAACCACGTTTACATGTTTTGGTTAGCACGCACTGCACGACCATGTGTTTTTGATTTTATCAAACCGATTAAACCGTTAGTTGAACATCCAAGGGTAACTTTTCTGAAATTCTACAAAGCTGACCAGAACTTGGAAGCTGTAACAAAAAAAAATATCAAGATTTATTGGCTCACAAAGAAAACCGAGGGAGAAAAAAAATCCACAGTCACCATAATTCTCCCGATTATAAGACGACGCACTATTTTTGTTGTTGTTGATGGTGGTACGGTTTTTTTTTTAAGCAAAAGTTGGGAGAGGATGCGTCTTTATGATCTGGAGACTACGTCAATTCACGTGGAAAGCAAAATCTTAATGTGTTCTCGCAGCGGTATCCGTCACGCGAGCGTCAGCACCCCAGATAAAAGCTTGCGTCTCTTCCCGACTCTAGATTTATATTCGAGATTTGCAAGCGAGAGAAAAGCCGCCGCCACCGCCACGCGCATGGCTCAACGGCGCAATAATCAACGTCCACTTTTCACATCCAGCTGCCAACGCTTGGAAGTAGCTGGCAAGTTTGTGGAAAGCTCCTCTTGCAATGTTCAAGCTGACAACATAAAAAAACACACACACCAAACGATAGCGGCTTAAGTTTACTAAAAAAAAAAACTCCAGCACAAGCAATAAAAGTGGAGTGAAGGCGGATGAGCTGTTCGCCCACCGCCGCGCTATCTGGTGGCCCGAGTTTGATTCCCTGCCGGGGCTAACAACAGTGGAGAGTTGCGACATCTGGACCGGCCCTGCCGCCCTCTTGCAACTTTTACCAACCTGCATTGACCAGCGTGGTGAAGTATGGTCCAACAACCGCGTGTTTCACGGGGGGGGGGGGGGGGCTCAAGCGGTAGAGTGAGCGGATCCTTATTTCAAGGCTGCGAGCTCACAAACTTTATTGGTGGTGGGGGAGGGAGGCTGCTACTCCAGGGTCGATAAAGTGAGTACTGTGCCACTTTGCGGGGACGTCAATATTGTTTGTCCTGTGGAGAGACACGGCCCCACCACAGCAACGTGGAATTTCCACCATGGGCTCGGGCGATGTAAACAGGATATGGGGCACCACTATAATTGCTCACTTGAGTAAGAATCGCTTTATCCTTTTAATTTTTGTATACAGCCAAACACAGCAGTATTGCCCCAACTGGATAAATGTTATACGCTCCTCCCGCAAGCAAGCGACGTGACATAATTCGGCACAGTATAAATACACGGCGTGAGCACATGCAGCCATCTGAGACAGGTTTTGCTGGTTTCCCAAAATCAGGCGTGGAAAAATTAAATTGGCGCAAAAAAAAAAATAACGACCCCATTTTGGCGGATTTGGGGCCCAACGCCGCTAAGCGGCCGATAATCGGCGTTAGGGCCCCAATCCGTCTGGGCGATTTACGCCTTCAAATCGCAGTGCACCGACGGCGTAGCCGACCGTCGCGACATATCAGCCCCAAACGACTAACCCGCCCCCCATGTTCAGCTTGGTCACTGCGCACCGCGTAAAAGGGTCATTTTTTTTCTGCAGATGTTCACGCAAAATATAAAAAAAAATGCGACCGTCTCGCGCTTAATTTTTTGTTCGTCCGGTGACTTATCTGTGCGCGGTGGTGTACTAACGGAGATTTTCTAGATCAGTGGTTCTTAACCTTTTACTGCGGCCTGCACCACCACCACCACTTTGGTTCTCAGAAAGGGTATCTCGCACGCCCAAGGGATGCGTGCACCCCAGGGTTAAGAACCGCTGCTATAGATGATCGCGTATCTGACCTATGTGCGTATCTGCCCCCAGCACCTCAGTCGCTCCCCCCTCTCCCAGCGAGTGGGACATGCGAGACTGCAACTGCGTCCGCCTGCTTTCGGAGACCGCTACGGTGGCAACAGAAAGTGTATCGTCAGGCCCTCTGTTTCCATGCGGCAACAACAACAAAAAAGGGCAGTGGCTGCCAGGCGCGCGGACTGCCGACGTTTGACGGATGCAAGGTGTGAAGACATTAATACATGAAAACATTTTTTGGGATAAAGCCGCAGCCCTGCAATTGCCTGCCCGCTCCACCACTGGCGGACCGTCGTCGAGGAGACGGAGCCCACGCTTGATCAACGCTTTGTGCTCTACACATTTCTACTGCTGGCTGGAGTGAGGTTGACGGTGGTGGATTTCTGAAACATGCCCCCAATGTTTCTGAACTGCCAAGCAGGGGAGAGAGGGTGACATGCAAAAGTGTATTTAATAATTTAATCATTAGACGTAAGTTTATTTTTTTGTTTATTAACAGTAATGTCGATGCTCCACCTGAATGCTGATTTCATTGCGGCCCATGTTTAAAAACAGTTCGTCAAAACACATTTTTTTCAAGGTTACCTTAACATTTGCCGTGTATTAAAAACAAAGGAAAAGAAATCACTCATCGGCTCGCACACTATTTAGCAACAAAAATGTCTAATGCCTATGTAACGTATGTGCTTCAGTGTAAGAGTAAAAAAAAAACATAAATATTATACCGGTAATACAAGGAACAAAAAAAAAACCACAAAGCAAACACTTTGTAAACAATTTAAACCTTAAAAAGAATCACGTGATAACATTAATACAAATAAGTTAGCGCAAAAAAAAGTGAGAAAAGTTCTAAATGGGATCGATGTGAGAGTATTAAACACACAAGACGTATGTGGCAACATCACTGCACCCGTTGAAGAAGAATTAAAAGTGACGACTACGTCCAGTAAGATTTATCCAAGACGCTACGCTAGAAATCAGCGAACGCTAACTTGAGCCACGGATGTAACGGGCGCAGCGTCGTGCGTCATCGCACCAGAGCGCAAACGCGAGCCCGTTCATGAAGACGGACTCTCAATTGCAGAGGGCACTCAACGGACAGTGAACGTGGTGGTTGGTGGGGAGAAAAAAAAAATCACGGAACAAAATCCAGGAAAGCATGAGCAGTACGGTATCCAAAAAGTGTTGAAATATTGCTTACGCCTAAGGGTGTAAAAGTGTTTCCCATCAACGTCGCCAATGCGGTATTGCTTTACTTAAATTACACAGACGCATCGTCTTGCTTTGCTTTTCATTGTGGGGGGGGGGGGGAGATGCTCATCCTTGCACAAGGCGTAGTGGGTAGGTAGTAAGGTAGGAGGAGGGCCTGGCGTTTAAAAAGCGCGGCGCGAAAACCGCAGCAGCAGCGGGCGGTGGGGCGACGTTACGCACGCATCTTCAACTTGGTTCGCAGCGCCGTAGGTTGCGAACCGCGCTAATCGGAGGTGCCGGCAAGGAGGTGGGGGGGGGGGTGGAAGACCATGGCCACAGCCTCGGCTCCATCCGAGCTCGCCCCTGGACACGACGAGAGCAGGCCGGGGGCGACGTCGCGACCTCGGGGCTAACGCACCGCCGGGCGTGAAACTTCTGGCGCACTCGAAAGCGTTCATTGTTAGTCCGTGTTTAGTTTACGACGACGTGCGCGAAATACTCGTGCCGGGTCTTGCCGTCTTGGGAGGTTTTGTGTACAGGCACACCTCCCACCCCCCCCCCCCCCACTTCAAGTCTCGTTGACTCAAGTGGATCGAGTATTTTGGCCCACCGCGGTTTTTAAATGTTGTGCGAGCGGTAATGCCATTTCTTCCGCCCTCACAACCGCCCCCCCGTCAATATTATCAAGTCAGCCAACCAAGTTAGTCGATCAACCTAGGAAATCTTTTAAAACTCATTTAGCCAATAATTGTATCCCATGTTTGGTCTCCCCCAGTGGTTGGCTACGTACGGTGCGAAAGAAGTTCAACATGCAAGGAATCGCTTGGCAGCGTCTTCAGTCTGAATAGTTGCCGATTCATAGTCGGTGTGCTCTGGGCGTTGAGTACCAGTGGCAGTCAAGGTCACGCTTGATGACGGATGTCCGTCCGCTCACGGTCGACGTTTACCAGAAGCACCGAACGCTTCGACGACGAAATATAACATCGTGAGCGTTTTTTTTGCGTTAACGACATTATAATGCTGTTTGGACATTGGAGAGCACCCTCATGGCGAAAACAAAGCGTCCGTATACATTACATCTCCCCGCTACATGACGGCTACAGAGCCAGCATCTCATCCTGATTAGCTTTATTTTTGTTGAATCTTAAAGAAAAATGTCGTATTTTCAGAATTACAGAAACATTTAATCCTTAAGTCAACTTTTCGAGGCACGTGCAGATGATTTTTTTTCAAAAGAATTAGGATTTAATATAAACGTATTAAAAGAAACCGTGCCAGTGACGAAACAAAAAAATCGTTAAATAACTCCAGAAAAAATAATCGAACACGTACAACAATGTGAACCACTTTCAAGATGAACTGAACGATTCTGTGGTGGACCAGTCGTTGAATTGTGCGGTCGTCGAATTGTTCAGGCCTTTCTCAAAAAAACGACAATTTAGAGAAAAATATATACTGGAAAAAAAAAGAGTCTCAAGACGTGATGACGAATCGTGCGCGTCGACTTAAACAAACGTCAAGGAGGGGGGGAAGAGGGGGGGTAAGAAAAAAAACCACACCAGCACTAAATGTCTAAATTTAAAACCCGCTAATTTGCGCCCAACTTGGCCAGATGATGTTGCCAGCAAGCACCAGGTGACGACGGCAACGACAAGATGAAAGCGAGTGTGGAGGACAACGCCGCAGCAACGCAGCACCTAACGGATGTGTTTTTTCATAGTAACTCCTGTGTTTGGATATTTAAAGATCTGACACCAATAATAAGAACAAACTTGTGCTGCGTTAGGCTCTGAGAAAACGTGTCCCTTGCGAGTGGGGTGGGGGGGGGCAGTGGATAATCGCGATTCTGCGTACGTGCGCGGTCCTGTGTCAGTCAGGAAGTCATTAAAAAAAAACCCGCAGTAAAACAAAGTCTACGGCAGCAAAAAACCCCAACGAGACATTCGGTACGGACATCGGTGGCGATAAAAAGCGCCTTGCGGTGGCTCCCCCTGGGCATCATCATAAACAGACAAAGGTGCAGCGCTGTTGATCGTCTGCTCGCACCACCGCTGACGGAGGCCCACACTTGACCCCGCCGCACGCGACCTGCCGATCGACTAGCTATCCGCGCCGTACCCATTTCTACTGCCGCTGGGTGGAAGAGATGTGTGGTTGGTGGTTGGTAGTGGTGAGGATCTAAGTAAACTTGCACCACTGTTTCAACTGCCACGCAGAGCATTTGACCCCGCCACTTCCCACGCTGGGCAGACAGTTTTGTTTTTTAGTAAGAGGTGGGAGTTAGCCACGTTTTACCCCGTCCGGCACGCGACGTGGTGGACCCCCAGTTTTAACATCGCCGTTCAAAGCGCTGCGCAAGGGAGGTAAGGGTCGAACCGGCGACTTCTGGACCGCAAGTCCAGCGATGCTCAACGTCACACCGCCACTGTGGGCGGCGCGGTTATTAGCGATTAAACAAACGACGCGACTTTTCAGATTGTTTAGAAGACCCCGACGCGTCTCCGCCTAGTCTGCACGCTTTAAACAAAACGCGTTGTTGTTGTTGTTGTTCTTGTCGTGATCAAGAAAGAAATGACGAATGTTTCGCTAACCTTAAACTTTAATGGACGTTTAAAAAACTCCCCCCGCCCCCCCGCCGCCCGCTTAGGCGAGTTTTCAAAATAGTGTGTATGCAATACAAAATAATATAACGCCTTGCATTCTTGCCGTTGCTTTCGATGTAGTGACGGAGTGGACTTATTCCACGTCTTTTTCTTTTAACGCGATATTTAAAATTTCAGTCAATTTATTTTCTTCCTCCGTCATTTCACTACGCGATTGTGTACGACAACGCACACAACATGCGTGCGTTGCACGAACGAACGTACCAATTTGAAACGGCGGACCTGAGCTGCGTCTGAGCCGCAATGAATTCCTCACCCCCCCCCCTTCACCTCCCCCCAGCTAAGCTATTTACATTAGGCACAGAGAGAAGAGCTTTACAATCGGGGGGGGGGGGGGTGAGAGAGGGGGGCTGTGGCACGACCAACGATGACGACGAAACGTTCTCCGCTGCTGTGGCCTTCTGTACGCGCCCGCCTGTTGTTTCGGCCGCTTTAACGGAAGGGCCCAAGACACGCAAGACTACATTCACGTGACGCGTGGCCCAATCCGACTGGCTGCCGCCGTGCCCCGAACATTTATCTCTTCGCGAGTGACCAGGTGGAACGATGAAAAGTAAACTATCGCGGGACCCCGTTACAAAATGAAAGATGGCTAAAACAGCCAACATCCCGCTTTTGTCACGTAGGTCTGACGTACGTGGCTCCCTCCATAGGAATGTGGAATTTCTCACGGGAAGTACCACCCCGATGCGCTTTTGATTTTTGCTTCAGCTGACACGGTGTCCCTCTTGTGACAGATTGAACGGTCTTCACGTCGGGGTTACAAACGCTCGACGCGATGGCTGCACGTTCAGTTCTACCGAGTTGGTGGTCTGGATAATGCCGAGAGAGCTTTTGGTTAAATCTTATTCCTTTTCGGGCCTGCGCTAGTCCTTCCGTTGCGGTGGGATGTTCTCGTTATTTTACAACCTCGAGTTAAATCTTTAAATGTGGATAAACAACGGCCAGGCCTCAAGTCCAGAGGTGGAAGACGCTGCACCCTGACCACTCGCGCCTCTGAGTCCACACTCGGCCCCACTGACCGCTGAGCGAGTCCCAGCCAGATGCCGCACGTAGGAGCAGGGCCCCCCCCCCTTCCCGCCGCCGAGGCCACGACGTACGTTGCTCCACACGAGCCGGGCCGCAGTCGAATCAGACTAAACCGCTTGCCGCGATGCTGCGTCGGTAGCGGTTGCAGAAGCGCAAAACAACGAACTCAAACCGTTCATCAATAACCACCGAGGGCCCCGAAAGAAATCGATAGGCGACGTTTCGGGCAAGCGGCCCTTTCTTTACGTCGGAGAGACGCAACCAAGCGAAGACGCTAAACGTTGATTGTTGCTTTCAGGGCCGTGTCGTCCACGAACGTGGAGTTTTTGTCGTTGTTGTTATTGTGGTCGTACCAGGATGCCACGCCCCCCCCCCCCCCCCGTTACCACAGAGGAGTGTGATCGCGGCGACAGCTGTGTGCACGTGGGTACCCCGTGGCTTCCCTGTGCGTCGGCTGTTGGCCACAGGTTTTCAGAGTCAATCCCCTTATACCCCCCCCCGGGCACCACTTGCCAAACACCAAGAAAATCCTGCACTAGTAAGAAAAACAAGTGAACGTTAAGTGGCCGTTCCGTGTGCGGTGTGGTGGGGTTACATTTTTGGTAATTAAAGGGTAACATAAGAAAAACGTGATCATATTTAAAGCCGAACCGTGATAGCGAGCTCTCCGATCGTGTTCCCCGTTTACATTTCCCACTTCCCGCGTCTCCACGCTCACTCCCCCACCACCCCTCCTTCTGCGACCCGCGCAGCTCCCGGCCAACTTCGGCTACGCGGGACACCGCCGCCGACCCACGCCGGGGGGCTGCCCCTTACGAGGCTGCCCGTGTGACGGTTCGCAACGGGCAGGCACGAGGTAACAGACCCCCCCCACCACGCCCGCAGCAGTAAACAACACGTGCCCCGTTTCCCTTCTCAACACGTGCCCAAGTATCTGTCCAACTTCCGTCTCCCTGCAGCTCTCCGATGATGCGGTGTCGGGTTGCGTTTCGTCATTCGGCAACGCACGACGTCCGACGTTTCGCTCCACGCGCTCGGAGAATCTTCACGGGGGATGCCACGGTGACAAGATGTTAACGACCTCGCGCGCCTGGTATACACAGCAGACCGCGGGGCTTCTATCCTGACCCCGACGCGTCTATATTTGTTCTCCCCGTGGTCGCGTGGATCTTTTCTCCGGGTCCTCTGGTTTTTTTCCCCTCCGCATTGAGAATCGACGTGCGTCGTATTTGGCTGCTCTGCATTTCCACGCGATAAGCCACTTGGTTGAGCCATCATTTGCGGCCAGGTCGCTTCTGAAAAAACAAAGCTAACGGCTCAGTGGGCCTCACCTGGTAAAATAATAAAAACTGTTTTATTTTAATATGTCTAAAGTAAAAAAGTCGTAAGTTTCGTTCAAACGCCGGACGTCGCTGCTGAAGAACGCGTGGCGGTACGACACGAGGCAAAACAAAAAAACAAAACACACGGCGACGTTCGGCTCCTCCGCGCGGGTGTCAACGGGGGGCGGGGGGGGGGGGGGCGGGGGCGAGGGCCTCCCGGACGCTCGACTACAGGGCCACGGGACGGCCCGTCGCTACTGCCGCTCAACCGAAACCGAAGTGAAACGCGCGCTCTCTCTCGCCCAGACGCGAGCCCCTGCCCCCGTCACGCGGCGGGGATTGCGTGCGGATTGCGTGGGGATTGCGTGGGGATTGCGTGGGGATTGCGTGGGGATTGTGTGGGGATTGCGTGCGGTTTGCGTAGCGGGGGAGTTCCACGCCGCCCGCGTCTTGCCGGCCTCTCTCTCGCTGGCCCTCGTCGCGAACGGTCGCAGTTTGCGGCTTGATAACAGTTTCGCGTTTAACCCCTCCTCCACCCGCACACCCCAGCGCACGTAACACTGTCTCCCCTCCTCTCTCTACCTTTTGATTCAACGACAAAAAAGGATAAAGAAAAAAAGAAGTCTGTCTCATTTGCATTATTAGAAATTCGCGTTAGCTTTTTTGTTTTGTATAAAACACGCACGCACGCACACTCCATCCGTAGGGCGATTCCTATTTCATCGCGGCGTCGGGGATGTTGAATCTGCAATTGCTTTTTTTTTTTGCATTTTGCATTTCCGTTCGTAGAGGGGAAGTTCTTGCCGTAGGGGCAGCCACTCCCTGCTGGGCAGCTTCCACCGCAGCTGCCCCCCCCCCCCCACCCCCACCTCCAGCACCGCCACCAGCACCGCCACCAGCACCGCCAACGATGTCGCCGCCACCGTCACCGGCAGACGATTTCACCAGTTCATGATGGACGTCCGGTTGAGTGTCATGAAGTACACCTGGCTGGTACCTCCTGAACGCACCGACGCAAAGAACACCTGGCGCGCACAAGAGGGAGGACAGGCACACGGAGGACAAGACCGTGTTGTTAGCGTGACGCACGTATGTATGGATGTTCAACTTCTTTTGCATCGCGCGTAGCCAACCGTGCTAATCGGAGGTGCGTGGGAAGGACAACAAACAATATTGGTCTCTGTGTGGGTCTATGGGCCTCTCCGTGTGAGTCTATGGGTCTCTGTGTGAGTCTATGGGTCTCTGTGTGGGTCTATGGGTCTCTGTGTGGGTCTATGGGTCTCTGTGTGGGTCTATGGGTCTCTGTGTGGGTCTATGGGTCTCTCCGTGTGAGTCTATGGGTCTCTGTGTGGGTCTATGGGTCTCTGTGTGGGTCTATGGGTCTCTGTGTGGGTCTATGGGTCTCTGTTGTGTGAGTCTATGGGTCTCTGTGTGAGTCTATGGGTCTCTGTGTGGGTCTATGGGTCTCTGTGTGGGCCTATGGGTCTCTCCGTGTGAGTCTATGGGTCTCTGCGTGTGAGTCTATGGGTCTCTGCTGTGTGAGTCTATGGGTCTGTGCTGTGTGAGTCTATGGGTCTCTGCTTTGCGAGTCTATGGGTCTCTGCTGTGCGAGTCTCTGGGTCTGTGCTGTGTGAGTCTATGGGTCTCTGCTGTGTGAGTCTATGGGTCTCTGTGTGAGTGTCTATGGGTCTCTGTGCGAGTCTATGGGTCTCTGTGACGAGTCTATAGGTCTCTGTGTGAGTGTCTATGGGTCTCTGTGCGAGTCTATGGGTCTCTGTGCGAGGCCATATATTCTATGTTGAACTTCTGCTGTATGGGGGTGATGCTGCTGCATGTGCAATTAAGTAATTTGCAGGTGATCTTTCAGCATTGGGATGTTTGGGGTGATACCAGTTGCACTGTGTTTTCTACAGAAGGAAACTGAAGAACCTGGAATAAAACCCCACGTGGCATGAAACGGCAGAACGTACAAACTTTAACCGCAGAAAGGCGTCTTGCTGTGAGCGTTGCCGTGACGACATCGTGATATTCTGAGCGTCGTTTCTCCACAACGTGAACCAAACCCGGCCGCCAGCAACGAGAACAATAACCAGCGACGCGGAGTGTAACGGAGCGCGCTCAATCAGGCGGGTTGTGAATGCGTCTCTCTGTAACGAACACCGTATCCTCCCCATTGTAAACACACCGTTTGCGTACGGTACTTTTTTCCAAGTGACCTCAAAGGTTGGGGATGCACATTAATCTTCCCAACGTCTTTTAATCCGGGAGAATCCGGTGAACGGAGAAACCGAGCCGGCCGGTTGCACAAATCCTGGCGTGGCGTCAGCTCAGACCGTCGCTACATCGCGACGTTGATTTAAGTCGCTGCACGGCGCTGCTACGTCGCTGCTACATCGGTGCTACGTTGGTGCGTTGTTACGTCGCTACTACGTTGCTGTAACGTTGGTGCGTTGTTACGTCGCTGCTACATCAGTGCTACGTTGGTGCGTTGTTACGTCGCTACTACGTTGCTGCTACGTTGGTGCGTTGTTACGTCGCTGCTACGTTTCTGCACGGCGCTGCTACGTCGGTGCTACGTTGGTGCGTTGTTACGTCGCTGCTACATCGGTGCTACGTTGTTACGTCGCTGCTACGTTGGTGCGTTGTTACGTCGCTGCTACGTTGCTGCTACGTTGGTGCGTTGTTACGTCGCTGCTACGTTGCTGCTACGTTGGTGCGTTGTTACGTCGCTGCTACGTTGCTGCTACGTTGGTGCGTTGTTACGTCGCTGCTACGTTGCTGCTACGTTGGTGCGTTGTTACGTCGCTGCTACGTTGCTGCTACGTTGGTGCGTTGTTACGTCGCTGCTACGTTGGTGCGTTGTTACGTCGCTACTATGTTGCTGCTACGTTGGTGCGTTGTTACGTCGCTACTACGTTGCTGCTACGTTGGTGCGTTGTTACGTCGCTGCTACGTCGCTTTACATCGGCGCTGTCGCAAAAAACAGGCGCGCGGAAACAAAAGGACCGTGGACAATTTACCGACCGCGTTGCGACACGCGATTATGTAAAGGGGCGTTTGTCTCGGTGATTAACTTGGGTGGGGTTCATCAACGTGCCCTACCACCTACCCCGACAATCTCCACACCCCCCCCCACCACCACCACAAAGCGGCCATCGCCCCAATACGTTGGCATCTATTTCCATCTCAGTTGCCGGAAAACCCTGGGGAGGCGTTGCCCCTTCAGCGACTGTAACAAGCCACAAGGGGGGTAACTTTAACGGTGAGTCACGACGACTGGCAGATAGGCAACCGACAGGCAGACACAGCGCCAGGTTTATAGGTACAGATTGTCCCCGAGTTACGATGGTCCGACTTGCGCTATTTCGATCTTACGATGGCGATACGACAAAATTTAAAATTATTTTAAATTTCGCGCGGCAGGCAAACGCAGCAGCGTACGAGGTACGATACTGTACGTTGGGATTTCATTTTAGGGTTACCACGATACGATACGTTCAATGCATGTCAAAAGTTTTTTTTATAGCAGATAGGATTGTTTCCTGAAAAAACTTTCTAATTAAATTGCAGTTCATATAGGTAGGCTAAGAATTTACCTCGTTTTTTTTACTTTACATTTTACTGTGCAATACAGTATAGTAATTAATAAATACAGTATAGTAATTAATAAATACATACAATATATAGTTCATACAGTACGGTACAGTAAATTGCTTTGTTTTGCTAAATTATCACCATTCTTTAAGACTCCTGGGTAGGCTATAGGCCATCTTCGACTTACGATATTTTTGACTTACGATGATGGGGTCGTCGTAACGTATCTACATTGTAAGTCGGGGACTACCTGTATATACAACCCCTGCCACGTGTCACCTTTAAACAGACCGTAGGAGACATTCGTCACCGATGTTGGCTGTGAACTCGGGTCGTCGGGTTCGTCGCACTAACCCGCTACACCACCCGCTTCTCGCACGCACACACAAAGACAAAGATCCCCCCCCCCCCGTATAGGCTTTAACAGACCGCCGGGGCAAGTGCTGTTAAGTGACGCCTACTACGAGGGAGGGCGGTGGCCAGCACCACGCCCTGCACACAAAAGACCAAGACACACACAAAGACGAAGATCCCCCGTGTAGCCTCAACAGACTTTTAGGGCAAGTGCCGTTAGTGAGTAACTACGAAGGCCGGCTCGGTACACGAGGGGGTGGGTGGGCAGCGCCGCGCCCGACCGCCTTTGTCTCCCCGGTGGCAATGTTTACTACACATCGCACCAGGTACTCATTTGAGGCCGAGTCGACCTAGGGAAGGGCCCAGAACCAGTTCACGTAATCGTCACAGGTTGTGGCCGTGAGCGGGGGTTCGAACTCGGGTCGCCGGGTTCGTAGCGCAGCGGCGCGCTGACCGCCACGCCACCGCTCCCCACACACGTGCACACACGGGGGGCGGCGAGGGATCGTGGCGAGGGATTGGGGGGGGGGCGGGATTGGGGGGCAGGATTGTGGGGGAGAGGGTGCTACCTTGTCGTTCCTCTCGCACAGGAACTTGAGGCGCTGGGCTCGCTTGTGCATGAAGACGCCGTCCAGGTGTCCCGTCTCCACCGAGCGGATCTCGATCGCCTTCTCGCCCCAGCCCATGATCTGGTTGGAGCGGATGTACGCTGCACGGCAGGCGGAGGAGGAAGAGCGCGCGTGCCAGAGCGGAGGAGAGGCGGGAGGGAGGGATGGGCGGGTGGGGCCGATGAGATGGATGTATTACGGATGTTATATACAGATGGATGGATTGTATGGGACAGAGGGATGCACGTGGAAGATAGACAGAGAGACGTGGATGGATTATTGATACACAGAGTGGATGGATTGGATAAATAAAGAGATGGATCGATGGGTGTGGATTGGATGAACAGATGGGCGTATCGAGAGATGGAAGAACCAACACAGCGTCGGAGAGACAGGAAACAGACAGGGAGATGGGGGGGAAGGGGCAGACATTTTGGATAAGTAACATAATTGCAAACAATTTCGGAAAGAGCAGGACAACTTCAGAGAAACCGTTTAAATTTATACGCCGAAACGTCTTGACGAGGGTCACCGTGCCACCGCGTTACAGACGGACACAGCCGACGTGCGCGTTTCCGTACGTTTGCGCGTGTGTACAGAAATCTAGCGGCAGTAGCAGCGCAGTGGCTAACGGCAACAGCGCTACGAACCCGGCGACCCGGAGTTCGATTCCCGCTCACGGCCACCGTCGATATCGAACACACCGAACCGGTCCTCCCGCTCGGTCGACTCGGCATTAAATGAGCACCGGTTGCGGATAAGCGTGAACATCGGCACTCGGGAGACAAAGGTCGCAGTACGTGGGTGCCGGCCGCCCACCCCTTCATAGGTGTGCCACGCCGGCCTTCGTAGGTGCTACTCGCATAACAGCGCTTGCCCCAACGTATGTGTATGTAGAACTTCTTTCGCACCGTACGTAGCCAACCGTGCTAATCGGAGGCGCGGGGGGAGGACAACAAACTGAACACAAAAAGCAGTTCCAAAGAAATGAGTTTTCAATCTCGATGAGGATTTAATATTAAACATCTCCGGTGGCAACCCGACATCGGAGGGAAGAGCGTTCCAGACGGCCGCAGAAAGCGCCGAGCGATGCGGCGACCGCCGCCTTTGTTCGACGACGAGCCAAAAAGCCGCCGCTGCTGTCGCGAGAGATAACCGTAGTTGGCGTGACGGTCTACGCTCCTTCACGCTCCGCCTTCACAGGCCCAACTTTGCTCATGGCACATTGCCCCGACGGTCTGTCGAGGCAAAACGTCTCGCGCGTGCCTCCCCCCCCCCCAGGTCTCCGCCGTACCGACGGAGGTGGGCATCTCTCCCCACTGCAGCACCACGTCCTTGGTGATGCGCCCGTAGGTGTTCACGTAGACGCCCTCGTCCTCGTAGCACAGCAGCAGCTCCATGCCGTCCGTGTTGGGCAGCACGATGATGGAGTAGGGCGAGACGCTGCCCTGTATCTGCACGCACGTGTCGCGGCAGACACGCGCACGTTGTACCTCGTTGTCCTTGTCATACTCGCCATCGTCGTCGTCATCATTGTCGTCGTCGTCATCATCATCGTCGTCATCATCATCGACGTCATCGTCATCATTGTCGTCACCATCTTCATCATCGTCATCATCGTCATCGTCATCATCGTCATCGTCATCTTTCGCACTATTACCTAGCCAAACCGCGCTAATCGGAGGTGCGGTCAACGTGCATTGTCCATCGACGAGTCGTCAACGAATCGGCCGTCAATTTGATCAATTGATCTATCGATGCTCACACGCACAATCTACTCAACCGTCGTTCAATGAATCGGTCCGTCCATCCTTTCATCCATCCAGCCGGCCATCAAACAAACGTTCCATGCGTTAGTATACCCATCAATTAATCCTTCCTTTTATCCATCAATCAATCAAATTAACTATCCACGAGGGTATCAGTGTCCCACTCACGTGAGTGGGCTGGTATATGTTGTAGGGGTTGCCTGAGTCGACGTCGATGGCGTGGAAGCCGGCGTTGGAACCGTACACGACCTTCAGTCTCTGGGACTCCTCCACTGTCAAGTCCACCAGCTGGGGGCGGTGTGGAAGCTCGCCGAACGACTGGTGGGCACACGGGGGGGGGGGGGGGGGGGGGCGGGGGGCAACCCACCTCAGTCCGTGAGTGAGCGAGCAAGCGCGAGAGAGAGAGAGTGAGCGATGGTCTGAGCGGGGGAGCGAGTGGGCAAGCGAGTGAGTGGGCGTGAGTGAGTGATGTAAGTAATTAAGCATTGATGCGAGCAAGTGATATGAGAGTGCGAGTTAATTGCGATGCGAGTCAACGAGCGAGTGATGAACTGAGCGAGTGAGCGAGATGAGAAAGTCGGTGCTGAAGTGAGTGAGTGAGCGAGCGGTGATGCAAGTGAGCGAGCGAATGAGTGCGAGTGTGAGTCAGTTGTGAGTGAGCAAGTGAGCGAGCGAGCGAGTGCTGCAGTGAGCGAGTGTTATGCAGCGGTGATCGGAGCGAGCGAGGAAATCTCCACTGTGTTTTAAAAGTACTTTTTTTTCGGTGTTTATAGGTTTTCGAGCTCGCGGGTACATTCACGTAGGATTTTTCCAGTAACGGACATATTCGAATAGACTCTGGCGTAGGTCACCGACGTGTTTCAAATGCGTACGCAGTTGGTGTAAACCCAAGCGGTAATTGCATCAGCGTCTCACCCACCACAGGAGCCAATCGGCAACACGAGCCAACCGGCAACACCCGGCAATTAAGCGACCAGAGCCAGTGAGGAACGCAAGCCACAGTCGCGACTCCACCCAAACTGACAATGGGTAGCGCACTGACGACGTCACGCCATCTGTTTTGAGACCCAAGACCGGTGGGCATTTTCACGATTCTGGCAACTGCCTGACGATGCTTGCTCTGGCTGTAACTACCAGCACACGGCGGGGGGTGACCTGAGAACCGTGTCGCCGTGCAGGTGCGTGCGCAACCGAGCAAACACCTTGAAGGCCATGAACTTGTGGTAGGGTTTGGGGGCCCAGGCGTACACCTCCACCGAGTTGCGCAGCGCCGTCACCAGGAAGCGGATCCTCTCGTACTTCACTGCCAGGCGCGGGGAAACGAGACGCACGGGGCAGAGTCACGGGGCAGAGTCACGGGGCAGGGTCACGGGGCAGGGTCACTGGGGCAGGGTCACGGGGCAGAGTCACGGGGGTAGGGTCACGGGGCAAAGTCATAGAGAAGTCACACGACGCACGGGGAAACGAGACGCGTGGGGGGCAGAGTCACGGAGCAAAGTCACGGGGGAGAGTCAAGGGCGAGCTTTACGAGACACGCAGGGCAGGGTCACGGGGCAGGGTCATAGAGAAGTCACACGACGCACGGGGAAGATTCACGGCGCAGTCACGAGCCACGTGGGGTAGTCACGTGACACGTGGGGCAGTCACGTGACGCGTGGCGTCCCGCCCCCATATCTTTCCCGCGCGTTGTCACGCCACGAAGAGCAAGTTGTGGGGGTAGAGGCGCGGCCCACTGCGATTGCTTTCCCACGTCACTGCTGGCGGATTGGGGGTTCCATTAGGAGGGAGCTCGCGTAAAGGGTGTTCTTGGCCTACTCTTCCACTTTGGCCAGACGTTCGTTGTGGCATGAGTGCCCACAAGTTGACCCACCACACAGGATGACCTGCCGATCGCTGGGCGGACAGAGGCGGGTGGAGATTTAACACCGAGCTCCTCGGAGCCCCAGAGCGAATTTGAAGACGTGCGAGGGAGTGCCGGGGGAAGCGAGGGGGGGGGGCGGGGGAGGCGAGGGGGGCGGGGGGGGGCGGTGCTCTCACCAACTTTGTAGTGCACGCAGCCCTCCAGGTCGCCCACCGTAGTCCACCCCTGCTTCTTCTCCACCTCGGGGTCGTTGTGCAGGATCTTGTTACGTAGCCACGACAGATAGTAGACCCGCAGCTTGTGCTTCTTGCCTGCCCACATCACCATCATCGTCACCATCACCACCATCACCGTCACCACCATCATCGTCACCGTCACCACCATCATCGTCACCACCATCATCGTCACCACCATCATCATCATCACCACCATCACCACCATCATCGTCACCATTATCATCATCACCATCATCATCATCGCCATCACCACCATCATCATCACCATCATCACCATCATCACCATCACCACCACCATCATCGCCATCACCACCATCATCATCACCATCATCACCATCATCACCATCAACACCACCATCATCTCCGCAACAGGTGGTACACTCGAAGATTGTGCTTCTTGCCTGCCCACATCGTCACCATCACCATCAACATCGCCGACATCATCACCATAACCAACATCAACATCGTCAACAACACCAATCATCGCCACCTAACCACCATCACCGTCACGATAGGTAGCACACGCCCGCATTGACTCTCTACATCATCTCAGTCTCCCTCTCTCCCCACCGCTCTCTGTCTCTCTCCGACTCCGTGTGTCTGCGACGACGACACGACGACGACGCTGCCGCCGACCCACCCGAGATGGTGACCAGGATGTTGAGCCCCTCCAAGACGTCCATCTGCTGGAATCGGCGCCGGCTGATGAGCGGGTAGACCTTGCCCTGCCCGCTGCGGTCCAGCAGCAGCAGCCCGTTCTCTGTGCCCACCAGCAGGTTCACGCCTACGCGCGGGCACCGCGGTGGGGGTGGTGGTGGGGGGTGGGAGGGGTGGGGAAGGTGGGGGCGGTGGGGGGGCAAGAAAGAAAGGAAAGAAAATAAAACATTTAATAAAAAAGGAAAAAAATAAGAAAAAAGGGGGGAAAAATTCGTTGAAAATTCCGAGGCCACGTCTCTCTCCCGCGACACACGGCCAAGCCGCGTCTCACCCCAGAGCGCGGCGCAGAGGATCTCGGAGTTGAAGCGCTTCTTGTACTTGCGGATCTCGGGCGCGTCGCTGTGCGGCCGCGTGTTGGTCGGGTTCACGTTCACCACGGAGCCCTTCCGCGAGTCCAGCCGGCTGGCCTGGGGCGTCGACAGCACTGCGGGGGCAAGGGCGGAGAGGCACGCGCGCTCGGTCAACGTGGGCCCGCTCCGGCCTTATTGATAAAATTATTTTGATTTCAAGCTTTCGTGACTGCAGGGATTCATATTCATTCTTGGTTCTTTCGGTAACGTCACGTAGAAGGGAAACAATAAAATAATACAAATATAAAAAATATTATTTTATTGTTTCCCTTCTACGTGACTTTACCGAAAGAAAAAAGAACTGGTAAAAAAACCAAAAAAATGTCAAGGGCTACTCCGCGTCAACCTGCGTCCAAACCCCCCCCCCACCCCCTTCGAATTAAAACGGCGACAGACAAACCAGCGACGGGGGCAGAACGAGCAAAGCGGGGGGGGGGGGGGGGGGGGGGTAAAACTCGGTGGCGGCCAAACTCACAAACGGATCCGGAGGGCAGCATCCCGTTCTCGGCGAAGGCCGCGAACGACGACGTGGAGATGGCCTTCTGGGCCGCGCGGGGGCTCACGGCCTGCTCGCGCGGCACGGAGGAGGAGGGCAGCAGAGCAAGGGCGGTCAAGGGTCACGATGCGCGCGGACGCCCGTTCCAGCCAGCCGACGGTCAAACGCGATCCCTACGCCCGTGGTTCGCGGCATCAAGCCGTGCGAACCGACTGGAGAAGTAACGCCCAACGGGTTGTTTTCAGCGTCCGTCAATCCTGCTGCCTGACGAAGGCCTCTCCCGCGCAATGTGCGTCGTGGGGGGTTCCGTTAAGGGCGGCCCTCAGAGCCGGTTCCGCTATGGCTTGGGTTCATCGTGCGGTGCCGCGAATCACTCCGCCACCGCTCCTCACCCCTTTCTATTTAAAACGAGCTTCTTTGCCCGTCCAAGGACGGGTGTGTACTGCAGTGAATCTGAAATATTCAATAGAAAAAATTGTTCAGGCTCATGAATATTAATGAGGGGGGGGGTTGCACCATGTGGAGTGACGTCACCCGCGAATGGTTATTGGGGAGGGGTGCGGCATGTGGAGTGACGTCACCACCTCATGGTTATTGTGGAGGAGTATGACATGTGGACGTGCACAACCTTTTTGTGCGCTTCGTGTAAAAATCCACCCACTCATGAATATTAATGAGGGGGGGGTGGTGGGCCTCATGTGTAGTGACGTCACGCGGGGGGGGTGGGCCTCATGTGGAGTGACGTCACAGCGGGGGAGTGGGCCTCAGTGTGGAGTGACGTCACGCACGGTGACGGACAGACATTTCTTGGCGATTATCTATTTAAAATCACACGGGGCAAAATGCAGCAATGTCACCACACGGCCAAGAGATGGCGACAGAGAATGGCAGTTTCGTAGGCTCGCTCGTTCACCCACGCTCACCCACTTGCTCACCCACTTGCTCGCTCTCCTCGCTCACTCTCTTCCGAACTCATTTCACTCACACTTCTTCACTCGCTCTCCACACTCAATCACTCACTCGGCCACTCGCTCTCATAACTCCCTCGCTCGCCCACTCTCGCTCACCCTCCCTCTCACGTCCTCGCTCACTCTCCTCCCAACTCATTTCATTCACACTTCTTCACTCGCTCTCCACACTCAATCACTCACTCGGCCACTCGCTCTCATAACTCCCTCGCTCGCCCACTCTCGCTCACCCTCCCTCTCACGTCCTCGCTCACTCACTCACTCTCGCTCACCCTCCCTCTCTCGTCCTCGCTCACTCACTCTCGCTCACCCTCCTCTCATGTCCTCACTCGCTCACTCACTCTTGCTCACCCTCCTCTCACGTCCTCACTCGCTCACTCTCGCTCACCCTCCTCTCACGTCCTCACTCACTCACTCTCGCTCACCCTCCTCTCATGTCCTCACTCACTCACTCACTCTCGCTCACCCTCCCTCTCACGTCCTCGCTCACTCGCTCACTCTCGCTCACCCTCCCTCTCTCGTCCTCACTCACTCACTCACTCTCGCTCACCCTCCTGTCATGTCCTCACTCACTCACTCACTCTCGCTCACCCTCCCTCTCTCGTCCTCGCTCACTCACTCGAGCCCACCCTTCCCTCCCCCGCCGAGAGGGCCTCTCTCACCTCATCGCCGTCGCCCTGGTAGGAGGACGATGACGACGCCGAGAAGGGGCAGCCTGGAGCGGCCCCCAGCGCGCCGCCACCCCCCGTGCCCTGGGGCAGCAGGTCGGGCAGCACGCCGCTGCGCGCGGACAGCCCGTTCAGCTGCCCGCACGACTTGTCGCCGCCATTCTGGAGCGCGAGCGTGCGTGGGGGGGGGGGGCGACGGAGGAAACCAACGTCAGACCACGGGGATTCTGGGATATGTGACGCGGCGCAGCCGAGCCACGGCGACGTACGGGCCGGGAACGGCGACAACTCAGCGACGAGAAAGGAATCCCACGAGCTCTAAAGCTCTTTTTTCACAGATTTCCAGTCGGGGCCGCGGGTCAGAACGTTCGCGCGTGTGCTCGTGTCAACCTCGGGTTCAAACAAAGCGGCTGCGAAGGCAAATTTGTCATTACATTTTAACGCGAATCTAACGTCAACTTTGAAGTTTCAAATGCAGTAGCCCTGCATATGCTTGAAAGCGTACGCGCACACGACATCGCCGCACGTGTCCTTAACAGCAGGGTCCGTTTCTTTGAAGCGTGCACTTGACACGGCCGCGCTGAAAACCACAATCGGCTAGAACAACGGTCACCCTCCCCCCCCACCCCCTGCGATTGTCCCGGACGCTCCACAAGGCTGGGCTATGGCGGGCCGTCCTGGCACCGGGGGCCCCAACACCCGGACTCGCGGGTTCAAGTTGGGGAGCGATTCTCATCGATTCCGTTCATCTGTACGTCGAGCGAGCACGATTCGCGGCATTCTGTCGAAACCTACCGCAGGGTGGAGGAGCATTTCCCCCACCCCGTGTCGCTCACGGAGGCCGTTTGACCATACTTCACCGCGCCGGTCACTGGTGCGGGCTTTGGTTGGCGAAGGGGCTGCGGGACCAGGCCCGGTCGGCCAACGTTGGTTGTAGCCGGGTATTGAACTCGGGCTCACCGGGTTCAGAGTGAAACGCGCTTTGAACCCCGTTACCGAGCAACGCAGCTTCAAGTTTCGCGAGCTTTGGTGTTTGGAGATGAGCTCGCCGCTTGACTTTGTGAGAAAACACGACGACCCACAATGCCCACGGCTCAGACAGCTACAACGAAGCGCCTTCAGGATGTTCTAGGGTTCATCGACGGCACCGCCTGCAATCTCAGACAGCAAGTCTCCTCCCACCAGCAGCTCCATCGAAGCGACAGCCGCCAGTCGATCGCTCAGACAGCGGGGGGCGGGGGGGGCGGGGGGGCGGGGGGGGGCGTGGGGAGAGCCCGGCTGGAATTGAGCCCCGACGGTTGAGTCTAATCCCCGCGGGAGAGTTCAGTGGAACGATCGTTCCGGGGGCTCGCGGGATCTGCCCGCCCGCTTGTTCGCCCACTTCCCCGCCCGCTCGCCCGCCCACTCGCTCGCCCGCCCGCTCGCCCGCTCGCCCGCCCGTTTGCCCGCCCGCTCGCCCGCCCGCTCGCCCCGGAAGAGGGTGGCTGCGAGCAACGCCCCACCTCGTGCAGGATGAACGTTCCCTCCGGGTCCCTCCCCTCCTCCTCCTCGTCCTCCTCGTCATGGACGATCAGGGTCTCGGCCGACGGGTGGCTGACGGGAGGCAAACGGTACAGAAACGTTAACCGGAAAGTGTCGGCATTGCAACGAGTCGGTGTGTTAAGGAGTCGGTGCGTTGTTAACGAGTCTGTGTGTTGATAACGAGTCGGTGTGTTGTTAACGAGGCCCCGGTGACGAGGTGGCTCGGGAACCGGAATATCGCGCCACGTGAAAAGGCACGCCACGGACTTGTCTTCGCACATTGGAGAGAAAAATTAAACTAAACAGTTTTAAGTTTTTATTTTACCAGGTAAGGCCCACCGAGCTGTGTAGCTCTTTTTTCCAGGAGCGACCTGGCCACAAATGATAGCTGATGTGGAAATGTATAGCAGCCAAATGCACGTTCATTCTAAATGTGTGTCGGGAAAAACTGGAGGACCCTGAGAAAAATCCACGCCACCACCACCACGGGGAGAAAACGCAAACTCCCAAATACAAAAACAGGCGTCATTGTCGGGATCGAACCCACGACCTCCTGTATACCAGGCGAGGTGGTTAACATCTCCTGGCCACCGTGGTGGCAGAACGCCAGCTGTGCCAGCCGCGCCAGGGTGCACGACGTACGTGGCGCGGTGCATGCCCCGCACGGGGATGGTGCCGTCGTGCCGCCCCTCCGCGTCCGCCTCGCCCTCCTCGTCCGAGTCCCCCGAGTCCTCGCTGGACGACGAGTAGTCCGTCACCTTCACCGCGCTGCGGGGCGGGGGCCCCGACATCGTCTGCTGCTGTGTCCCGGGGGGGGGTGGGCGAGGGGTAAAATAAAGAACTTGAAATTAAAAACCGCAAGCGAAACTGGAAGCTGTTGGTGGTTGTAATCACCGCGCAAGTCGCCTGATGAAGCTGGCTGTTGTTGTAATCGTGGACGAAACGTCTCACGCGGTACTCGAATCGGAAACGTTGCTGTGGGTTCACTCCGCAACACACGGCCGCTAAGCTGACGGAGTCACCAATTGACGCGTTGTGTTTACGCGACAAACCTCGCCGATTGTCCGTGTCGAGCGGCGGTGCGGTTAACGACGACACATGTATATTTACGCAATCTACACCATTCCTTTGTCAAGGCGCCCCTTCCCCCCTCCAACCCAGCTTAAATATACGCTGCCAAGCCTGGTGGTGCCCATTCAGACGCTGTCTCCCCGACAGACCTGTTCTTCACCTGAGGACGGCTGCTTGCGTTGTGGCCGAAACGTCGTGAGAATTATTTTATGTTTTATTATTATTTTATTATTTCCTTTCTACGTGACTTTACCGAAAGAACCAAGACGATGAATCCCTGCAGTTACGAAAGCTTTAAATCGAAATTTCAATCTACACCCATTAAAACCTTCACCGTGAATTATTATGCAAGAGGTTCCATTGCCGCACGCACGCACGCGCGCGCGCGCGGAGTTGGTCTCCCGGTAGTCACCGCCACTTGGTGGCGAACGGCGCGCGCGAAGAGTTGCCGGAGCTCACGTTAGCGGAGAGATCGTCAAGATCCCCATTGTTACACCGCCTCTCTCCGCTGCGCAGAAGGGGGCACTGCCCGAAACGTCGCTCCCCCCAACCACCGACCGGCAGACTAATGCCCACTTAGTTTAATACGGAGTCGGCTTTCGCGACCAATATCATCACAATACAGTTTTTGTTGGGTTAGATCGCGTAAATAGATATAAAATGTGTCGTTAAACCCGCCCCCACCCTATTAGTAAGGTTTGTCACGTAAACAGAACTGTCCGTTGCCTGATGAAGCTGGTTGTAATAACTGGCGAAACGTCGTACTCAGATTATAAATGTTGTGGCTTGGCTCTCCAACACACCGGTGTGTTGTACTAGTACACTACACACTACTATACACTACACTATACACTACACTATACACTACACTACTATACACTACACTATACACTACACTATACAGTACACTACACTACACACTACACTACACACTACACTACACACTAGTGCTGTACTAGTGACGATTTGGCCACGTTCTGTTTACGTGACAAACATTACTAATTGGTCGTGTCGGGCGGTGGCCGGCTTAACGACACACTAATATATTTACGCTATCGAACCGAAAAAAAAAACCTGTATTATGGACGATGCTCGCTTGCACGCCGGTGCCGTGTTCACCCATTGCCGCACAGGAGCAAGCTGGCGGTAGGGGGGTCCCCCCCTCCCCCCAGGCATATCGTGAGTAGCGTTAAAGGTATTAATAATCAGCTCCAACAGCACACGGCCGGGTTGAACTGCCTTGCTTACAGAAAGGGCAGCACAACGACCGCCACGCGGCCGAGTTTGTTCAAAACCCGTGCCGGCGTCTCCAGACGGCAATTTTTCGGGGGAGCGCGCTCTTTTAAAAGTACGAAGACGAAGTCCCCCCCCCCACCCGCGCCCCGCCACGACTGACCTCGTAAATGGCTTTAGTGTAGCTCTACCGCGCGCAAAGCGTTTGGAGGGAAAGAACGAAAAACCAAAAAATTATCAGCGGCAGCGAGAGCGACGTTCCCCACGGCAACAACGTCGATGGGACCGGGGGGTTGGGGGGCATAGCGACGCATCGATTGATAACACTGGTCAACACACTTTTTCTGGCACGAGGTATTCCAACGGTATAATAAGGTAATTTTGGGGTGCTGATTCCAAATCTGGCATCAGTTGTTGTCTATCACATCAGGTTTTTGAGATATCAAATATTGCATTTTCAATAAAAACTGCAGAAGAAAAATATTAAATAAATGTGGATATCTACATAAAATGATATTATAAACAAACTATCCTAAAAATACAGCACCATATTTTAACACTAAAGCAGTCACTGACTCGCAACAACTTGCAATCATAAGTGACAGAGTTAATTTCTGGTAAAATTAATTAAAATGGGGTATGCCGATAGCATAAAAATGAGATGTGATAGAGCAAATCTGAGATCAGATTTGGAACCCTGAAATTAGTCTAAAACAGCTGCAAAAGTCCAGGCCAGAATTTTTTTTTGTTGACCAGTGTTATTGGCGATCTGCACGTGCTGTGTGGTATTAGTTTGTCCACGCATCGACCTACTCACCCCACCCACCGATCCATCAACCCACCTCGATTCCCCTACTCTTAACTAAGCTGGCCACCTCCGATGATGAGGACGGTTGGCTACATACAGCACGAAAGAAGTTCAACACACACAATAACCTAGTAACCCACCGAACTGCAAACACCCACCTACCTACCGACTGCACACACTGTCATTGAAATTACTCACCCACTCACTCACCTCTCACCTACGTACCTACTTTACCTACTTACCCACCAACCCTCTCACCTACTTACCGACCTGCACAGACACCCACCTGTCGACACACAACACATCCATTTCCCTCCCACTCACCCACCCACCCACCCATAACCATCAATGTACCGAAAACTACAAGTTTTAACAGGTAAGGCCTACTCGGCTATATAGCTCTTTTTCATAAGTGACCTCGCCACAAAGTATAGCTCAACGAAGTGGTTTATCACGCGGATATTTCTGGAAGCGAAATACGACTATAAACGCGTATTTCTAAATGTGGAGGGAGAAACCGGAGGACCCGGAGAAAAGTCCACGCGACCACGGGGAGAGAGAGACACGCAAACTCCAAATATACAGCAGCAGGTGTCAGGGTCGAGATCGACCCCACGACCTCCTGTATACCAGGCGAGGAAGTTAACATCTCCTCGCCACCGTGATGATGATGATGAGAGAGAGACACACAAACTCCAAATATACAGCAGCAGGCGTCAGGGTCGGGATCAACCCCACGACCTCCTGCACACCAGGTGAGGTAGTGACCGACTCACTCACTCACCCACTGTATCTTTGCACCAACAGGTTCACAAACTTTTGTGGCTCCCGCGCGGAGCCGCCTGTCATCCGTCAAAACATTTTTCACTGGACCCATCGCCGTGCTCCCATTCACAGATATCTCAATGAAATCGCTCGTGACCGACGCAAGCGCTCGGCACACTCCGTCGGTAGTTACCCACCGGCTTGTGCTGACGATCGATGAGCACGCGCAATCCGAACAACTGTTGCGCTCAACGCGGCAGTAAAAAAGAAAATCACACGTGGCGATAAATAAAAATCGTAGCATCTGCAACAACAACGTTTCGGCGGACCGCTCCCACCGCGGCCTTGCGGAGGTAGCGGCACAGCGGCGGTTCCGCTGACCCCCGCCCCCTACCCTCTCCCTGCCCTCGGCGCGGCGCGGCACGGCGGCGGCGGGGGGGGGGACGGGGCGTGTGTCCGGCACTGACCGGAGGGCGAGCGGGCCGCGCGACGTCCATCCCGTCGTCCTGTGCGACGCCCAGGCTGTCCGAGGACGGAGCTCCGTTCGTCTGAGCAGCGGCTGTCACAGAACAACACGCGGCCAACGTGAATACAGCAGCGGCTGATTCCAAGAGGGTTTGCAGCGATTGTGACATTGTACTGCGAGACAAGAGCAGTTCAAAGCTTAGCGGGGCTTGTTATTAAAAGTGGCAGCGTGGTTACGGTGACAGAAGAACAGTCGGGAGTGGTTGAGGAGTTAGCATTGGGGTAGGGGTAGTGATAGTGGTTGGGGTAGTGATAGTGGTTGGGTTAGTGATAGGAGTTGGGGTAGTGATAGTGGTTGGGGTAGTGACAGGAGTTGGGGTAGTGATAGTGGTTGGGGTAGTGATAGGGGTAGTGATAGGGGTAGTGATAGGGGTTGGGGTAGCGATAGGGGTTGGGGTAGTGATAGGGGTTGGGGTAGTGATAGGGGTTGTGATAGGGGTAGTGATAGGGGTTGGGGTAGTGACAGGAGTTGGGGTAGTGATAGTGGTCGGGGTAGTGATAGGGGTAGTGATAGGGGTAGTGATAGTGGTTGGGGTAGTGATAGGGGTAGTGATAGGGGTAGTGATAGGGGTTGGGGTAGCGATAGGGGTTGGGGTAGTGATAGGGGTTGGGGTAGTGACAGGAGTTGGGGTAGTGATAGTGGTTGGGGTAGTGATAGGGGTAGTGATAGGGGTTGGGGTAGCGTTAGGGGTTGGGGTAGTGATAGGGGTAGTGATAGGGGTTGGGGTAGCGATAGGGGTTGGGGTAGCGATAGGGGTTGGGGCAGCGATAGGGGTAGTGATGGGTGTTGGGGTAGTGATAGGAGTATTGATAGGGGTAGTGATAGGGGTTGGAGTAGTGATGGGTGTTGGGGTCGGCCAGGTCATAGACTGGGGGGCTGGGGCAGGGAGTACCAGGAGCAGGATTGGCTCGGGGAGAAGAGACGGGGGTTGTTGTAAGGAAGGACTGAAAGCAGGCTACAGAGAAGATGTTTGTTTTAGTTGCGTTCTTACAGCACAAGCAAGTGAGAGGGTACATCGACTGTTCACAGCGTTCCGTGCGGAGCGTGGACTGGGCACGTCGCCAGGAGACCCGCGGTCGAGACTAACGGTGACGCGGCAGCCGAAGGATAAAAAACACGGTCGGGGAGGTGGACCGGCAAAGAGCCGGAGCGATCGAATCAACTCATCATCCAGCAGAAGATAGATCACGGCCGCTGCCGACGACGAGGAGGAGGAGGAGAGGTCGCTCACCGCGGGGCTTCTGCCGCTCCCCGGAGCTGGGCTGCGAGCCGGAAGAGCTGGAGGCCGATCCGGAACCGGATCCCGAGCTCGAGTGGCTGCCGTACTGCTTCTGGTGCCGGCTCCGCAAATCCGCACCGTCTGCCGATCCCTCCGCGGCCTTCGCGTCCGCCAGTCTGGTCACGCGGACCGCACGCACACATTTAATTATACCAGGTAAGGCCCACTGAGCTATGTAGCTCTTTTTCAGAAGCGACCTGGCCACAAATGATAGGTCAACAAAGCGGCTTATCACGTGGACATTTATAGCAGCCAAATACTCTGAGCGCGTGACGTTGATTCTAAATGTGAAGAAGGAAAAAAAACCGGAGGACCCGGAGAAGAATCGACGGGACCACGGGGAGAGAGGCACGTAAACTCCAAATGCACAGCAGGCGTCAGTGAAACCCACGACCACCTGTACACCAGGCGAGGTAGTAAACATCTCGCCACCGCCACCACGCCGCGACAGATTGGAGAGGCCTTTCACCCAGCAGTCGGCTACTGCCGACTGATAATTACAATTCTATTATAATATAATTACATAATATAATTCGCGAGCTCCCCAACGCCACCCTCCCGCCGCCTCGGCGAGTGCGGCGCGCTTCACCGAGCTCACCGGGACTGGCCGCTCGGTCGAGGGGTGAATGCCGGCAAGATGCCGGGCGAGTTCCTCCGCATGAGCTCCGGCGATCGTGACGTCGTGCGCGGAGGGACCTGTCGCGACGGGGGGAAGGAGGGAGAGGGCGGCTCAGCACCCACCGACGATCGCAATTCACCGCGGTCTGATTTCAGCGGAGTTCGAGAGGAGGGCGATAGAGGTGAGGGACGCGAACGCTAGACGCATCAGGGGCAAGTGGCGGAGAGCCGTGGCACGAATGCTGAACTTCCTTGGCACCGTACGTAGCCATTGGAGGAAAGACAACGAACAAAAACACAAAAAGCAGTTCTAAAGAAATGAGCGTTTCAATCTAGACGACGATGTAAAAGTTCGCAGCTCCCAGCGGCTTCCGAATATCGGAAGGAAGAGGCGTTCCGGACAGCCGCAGAAGCGCATCTGAAAGCGCCCCTCGACACGGTGGCCGTCTTTGTTCGACGGTCAGCCAAAAGCCGCTGTCGCTGCGAGTGCGACCGGCGTTCGCGCGATGCTTTATTCTCCTTGATGAGATCGGCAAGGTATCGGCGGTTCGTTTGCGGCAAGTACTTTGTAGGTGTGTGTGTGTGTGTATATATAAGTGGGGAGCGATAGTGTAGCGGTTAGCGCGCTGCGCTATGAACCCGGCGACACGGGTTCGATTCCCGCGCACTGCCAACATCAGTGACAATTATCTGAACCGGTCCCGGGCCTCCCCTAGGTCGACTCAGCCTCAAATGAGTACCTGGTGCGGTGTGTAAACATTGCCAATAGGGAGACAAAGGCGGTCGGGCGTGGTGCTGGCCACCCACCCCCTCGTGTACCGTTCCGGCCTTCATAGGTGCTCGCTAACAGCACTTGCCCCTACAGTCTGTTAAGGCTATACAGGGGATCTTTGTCTTGTATATACAATGAGTGCCACCTTACAATGTACGATCAAGCTCAGCGAGATGAAAGAGAACGTTTCCGGCACACCACGCACACACACACACACGCAACTTGGAGGGGGCGCGGCAAGCGTGACGCTTTCACCGCTCCGCACCTTTGGGGGCACCTCCTCGATGCCGGCGGCCGGCGGTTCGGCGAGCAGCCTCCGCGTGGGGCCGTCGGTGGGCGGGTGTGACGGCGCGGAGGCGGACGAGGGGATGAGCGGCGGAGACTCCTGCTCGGGGAAGGAGTGGGATCGCGGCATCGCGGGTGGTGCTGCCCCAACGCCACCGCCACCGCCCGCCTGCTGCTGCTGCTGCTGCTGCTGCCGGAGGGAGATGCGGTGGGCGACCTGGACCTGCGCGCATCGCATCGGCACTCGTCAACTAACCGTTCCGACGTCCCCGTTTAAAAAAAGAAAAACAAAAAAATGGTCAAAAGCTGCGTTCTCAACGATCGCCGACCTGGCTGAGTCGGGGGAAAGTGGATTTTATTTTTCCTCTAAAATCTGCACCCAAAGCGCCGTCACATGAATACTCGACGTAAGAAAACTGCCAATTCTTTGCAATGAGAAGTAAGTGTAAGTGGCCTTGGCCCCGACTTGCACGGGCGACCCGACCCATTCAAGCGCTCCGCAATGGAGCCACGTGGTCCGCCCATGTAAAATGTGTGCCACAGCTCGCTCTGCCAAGGGGGACGACCGCCGCCTGCTCGTAGCCGTTGGCCACCCCCCTTGGCACAGCCCCGACGCGCGACAGGGCTCGGCGCCGTCACAACGGAAGCGCCAGGACAGCAACGAAGCGAAGAGAAATCGGCGCAAAAAAACACACAAAACAGAAATCGGAGGAGAAAAAAATTAACCCGTAAAAACAAAGTTTTTCACTATAAATCCTTTATATGCGTGGCGGCTAGAGTCTTCTCGTCCTCTGGCTTGAGATGGCTGCCACCTATGGGTCAGATGATTGTCTGGCAGCATTAAACAATTGGCAATTAAATATTTAAAATTTTCCCCTAAACAGTGTAAAATTTTGGAAAAGTTTTTTCACGGAAATGCATTGTCACGCACAACGAGTCTGTGTGCAAAATGTCAGCTCGATTAGATCACGGGAAGTGGATTAAAAAACGACAGAAAGATTTGCACGGTCCTAAGCAAGCAAGCGAACTTAATATAAAGGATTTCAAAATAAACGAAGGAATGCTTTGGGCACGGCTCGGGTCTCCTGGCCTACCAGGCACTCAAACGAGTTTGGCTCCCCCGCAATATTTAACAAGAACCGATCAAACGAGGTCCCCCCCAAGATCTTTGATCCCCCTTCTTCTAAAGGACTCCGAGGTCACGGCACATTTTGCCAGTGCAGCTCCCAAGTTTTTGAACGCCTTGCCTTTGCAAGTAAGACGATTAGAATCGTTAAATGTATTTAAGTCCCATGTTGAAAACTCACCTCTTTCAACTGGCCTTCATACCCCCCCCACTAGTTCTGATCGTTTACCCCGCCAACTCCTGTTTATTTCCTGCTTTCCATACACGGTGGCGCCATTGGTAGCCTCTCCGTATTAAATGCGCACACTTCCCAGGTGTAAATCACTATCGTGTTATTATGGTTGTGACGACGAAATCCCGCGGGGGAAACCTCGGCGACGATGTCGCGAGCTGCTGCCCCCCCCTCCAACCCTCCCACCTCCACCCCCTCGTCCCCCACCTGCGGGTCGACGCCGCGCTGGAACGCGGCGGAGGAGACGGCGCCGGCAGCGGCAGCGGCACCGGCGGAGGAGGAGGAGGCGGCCTGGGCCGCGCCGTTTGCCAGCGCATCGGCCGGCACCGGCTGCGGCCCGGCGTCCCCGCCGCGCTGGCTGTTGGTGGGGGAGCTCTTCTTGTTCATCTTCGAACGGTCCTCCACCTGGGGCGCGGCCACACGGCACAACCAACGGCACGACGTGGTGAGTGGGGCGGGCGGGGGGGGGTGAGCGAGGGTGCATCCGTCTCACCGCCGACGACCGCGCGCCATCCGGAGTCGCCACAAGCCGAGGTCGGGAGAGTTTCCGCGTCACAACAACCGCAGGGGGGGGGAGGGGGGGAAGGGGAGGGGGCGTCCGGAACAAGCGGAATGCTCACGACGGAGATAATGCGGAAATCCCTTTGTTGAAGGAGCTGATTGTGGTGACGTTCATTGACTGGTGGTGATGTTGTTGTTATTGTTGAGAGTGATGGCGATAATACTGATGCCGACCAGATGGTCAAGGCAATCGTGACGGCGATGACGGTGGTTGTGACGACAGCACCGTCCATGAGATGTCGGCGGCACTAACAACCGGTCGAGATCGTGACGAAGCTGACGATGACAGCGAGAGTGGCAACGCTGGCGACGACGACGACGACGACGACCGCATCTGACCGTACCTGCTTGGCCCAGGCTGGCTTGTCGGCGGGAGGCTTGTTTTCCAGGAACTGGTACACCACTCGCGCCTTGTCACCTGGCAACGCCCTGCCGTCGCTTTGCTGCTGCTGCTGTTGTTGCTGCTGCTGCAGCGACATCAGGAAGTCCTTCTCCTGCTGGATCTGCTTCTGCAGCCTCTCCGCCTCCGCTTTGCGGCGGCATTCCTGCGGCGCAGACGACGGGACGTGTTCGCAAATAAATAAAAAACAACACCGGGCCAGCCGGCACGACGAGCAGCACGCACTCCCGGTCAGCCCAACGCGTTTGGTTTGTTTTGCTTTGGCTTTTTGCTTGTAACGAAACGCATTCAGCCCCGGTATAATCACCGTCGAAAGATTCCGAGTGACAGGGAGGGGGGCGGGGGGGCGCGCAGAGAATCCGCGGTTAATCCGTTCCGGCGAGACGGGATCGCTCCCGGAGGTAAGAACGCCTCCGGAGATCGCGAGACCGGGGGGGGAGGGGTCACCCCGGAGGGGAACGTCCCCGCATTCTACCGGTCGCGGGGTGCGGACCGACACGCGACGTACACGGCATCGCGCGTTCCTGCGACGTTCGCGCGAACAATGTGGGGCGCACGGAGCGGCGGTCGTGAAAGCAAACGGCGGCTCGGCAGCGTTGACACCAAAAGAGACGCGCCGTCAAATTCCTTACGGCCGGATTACGAGCGCCCACTGGGTATTCAACTTTGCGTGGGAGTTTGGGTGGGTTTGGGTGAGTGGGTGGGTATGGGTGGGTGAGTTGATGGGTATGGGTGGGTGAGTGGATGGGTGAATGGGTGGGTGAGTAGATGGGTATGGGTGGGTATGGGTGGGTGAGTGGGTGAGTGGGTCGGTGAGTAGATGGGTCTGGGTGGGTATGGTTTGGCCTGATGTCCATGCTGCGAAGCTGGCACACAACGCACGAGCCGGCCGCACAAACCGTGGCGCTGCGTGCCGAGTTGCGCCGAGACGCACTCTCCGAGCCGGAGGGAGTTGTGTATATAATCCCACCAAGCCTTGAGACAAGATCACAGAGGACTGGACAGGGATTCGGCAGGCTCTAGCCAAGACGGGCCGACAGCGCCAGGGGACAGCCAGCGAGGCGGGAAGTTGTCCAGGAGCGTGCACCGACCTATCCGAAGTCCGGAAGAGAAACTAAGCCGGACGATTCTCACGGGGCATCTACACACGACGCCGATCGTAAAATCGAGGGTCGCCGCTCCGCCCGCGTGTCTCGCGAGCGCGTCCAGACGGACAAAGTCAGTCCGCGGCGGGCGTTCGCCTCGAAACTGGAGGAGCGGCCGACGGATATCGACGATAAGTCGGGGTGCGTCGCGGCCGTAGGTCGCTGTGGCCTTACGACGCCGCGGCGAGGCCGTAGGTCGCTGTGGCCTTACGACGCCGCGGCAAGAGGCGCCGGGGGGCGGGGTCAGCGAGTCAGCAATGACGGTGCGTGCAAACTGCGCAAAACGCGCAAAACGAGGCAGCCACTAAGGGCTCTGGCAGTGGCAGTTTCTCCCAGCGACGTCACATGTCAAAACACCCGCGTCGTTTTTAACGGCTCGCGTGACCGTAAATCTTTATATCGTTACGTACAAAATAAACAAGTGGTGGGACGAACAGAGCGGTGACACTCTCGAAACAGGCCAGCGGACGCGCAAAATGCGTCGATGAAAAAAACGCGTCGACGCACTTTGGTTCGCGTCTTAGCGTACGTAACAATGTTTGAACCCGTCCGTCGGCCGGGACTTCCGCACTTGCGTCGTTCAGCAGCAATTGTCTCAGGAAGCAAAGGCCGCGTTGCACTTTGCAAGGCCGGCATTGTCGATCGTGCCCACGATATCCGGTTCCCCCAGCGCTCCTGCAGTTCAACAAGCCCGGACCCTTTGCCGATGAAGTTGAAGCTGGGACAGAGATTGCTTTCGCGCAGATATGTTGCCGAATGGCGGCTTCTGTGCAACAAAAAATGTAATCTCAAGATTGTGCCTTGTGAGATGCGCAGAGAAGCTGGGTTCAAAGCAGTCTGCTAACCACGACAAAAGGACAGACAAAGATCCCCCACGTAGCCTGAATAGACTATTGGGGCAAGTGCTGTTAGCGAGCACCGATGAAGGCCGGCACGGCGCACGAGGGGGTGGGTGGCCAGCACCACGCCCGGCCGCCTTTGTCTCCCTAGTGGCGATGTTTACACACCGCACCACGTACTCATTTGAGGCCGAGTCGACCTAGGGGAGGCTCCGGACCGGTTCAGATAATCGCCACCGGTGTTGACCGTGAGCGGGAATCGAACCCGCGTCGCCAGGTTCGTAGCGCTAATCACTACACCACCGCTCGCCACTAAGCCTCACACACACTCGCTCGGGACGTTCAACCGAGGGTACAGGTTTCACCTCGTCATGGGAGAACTCCAACAGATCCAGCTGCCCGCGATAATCGCCAGACAGGCCACGTTCATACTCTCACGATACACGCATTAACATCGCGCGTCAGAGAATCGATTCTTTACAGACGTATGCACGCCGTATGCGAATGATACGCCAATGGTGTATTTGATTTCGATTTAAAGCTTTCGTGACTGCAAGGATTCATCTTCTTGGTTCTTTCGGTAAAGTCACTTAGAAGGGAAATAGTAAAATAATAAAAATAGAACATTATAAAATACAATTCTCACGACGGACGCTGTCTTTCCGACAGCCATGTTCTTCACCTGAGGACGGCTGCTTGCGTTGTGGCCGAAACGTCGTGAGAATTGTATTTTATTATATTTTATCATTTTATTTCCCTTCTACGTGACTTTACCGAAAGAACCAAGAAGGTGTATTTAATATCGCGAATGATACGCCAATGGTGTATTTGGGTTCATTGGGGCGAACAAAAACTGCGCAAACGAGACGGGGAAAGCAAAAAAAACACACACACAACAACAACGGAAGCGTGACGGTGGAAGGAATCAATTCTCTTATCGAAATGCAAGCCCCAGGGAAGTCGTGACCATTCCTCGCACGGTGTGGGATGGGGGGAACGGCGTGGTGCGGGGCAGGGAGATCACCGGCGTGCACGCCTGCGTGGCTGCCGCTAAGCAAGCGTGCCTTCTTCCTCTCGGTGTCTGTACGTCATGGTGAAAGGACACGAGGAAGGAAGAAGAGAAGCGAATGGAATGAATCGACTTGACGGGCAAATGCGCGCACGTGCGTAGGCCTCGGCAAGGTAAGGTAATTGTACCCTTTTTACCGGGTAAAAACATGCCAAGGGGTAAGGGCAAAGGGTAGGGTAAAAGGCAGGCTCGTTGCTTTTTACCTTACCTGCTAAAGGTTAAAAGGTACGGTAGAGTGATTGTATTGTGGTAAGGTAAAAGGTAGGGTAAAGGCAGGCTCGTTGTTTTTACACTTTTACCTTACCTTGCCGAGGCCTACATGTGCGTGCGTTCTTTCGCACCGCACGGCAGCCAAGCACGGCAGCCAACCGCGCCGATCGGAGGTGCGGGCGGGCCGGGGCGGAAGAACAACAAACTAAACGCGAAGAAGCAGTTCTGAAGAAATGAGTCGTCGATGCAAATGATCGGGGGTCAAACGAATGGAAGCCAAGCCGAAGCGCCTTTTGGCCACACGGTGCGTTACCAGCAGCAGGGCCTGTTCCTGCAGCAGCTGCTGCTGCAGCTCCTCTATCTCCTGCTGCTCCTGGTCTAACTGGCGCCTGATCAGCTCCTGCAGAAGTGGGGGGGTAGGGGAGGAGCGAGAGCGACGGGAGGAGGGGGCAGGCTCGCACGAGGTGCCCTCGACGCGGCGCGGGACATCTCGCGTCCCGCGGATAAAACGGGGGGGGGCGTCTTGTGGCGGCGGCGGGGGGCGGGGAGCAGGATCCAGAGCATTGTAACGAAAGAAAAGGGAAATCAAAGCGAGAGACGCGTAAAGGGGTCGGGGACCGCACGCGCGCGCGGCTAGGAAACGCCGAAACCGCGCGGAAAAGCGGAACGCCGACAAACGCGACGACGTTCCCCGCGTGCGCACCGCCCGCCCCCCTCGGCGCAGCGCCCCCCCCCACCTGCTCGCGCTCCGCACGCCGGCGCTCCTCCTCGTCGCGGCGCCAGCGCTCCAGCTCGGCCTCCCTCCGCCGCACCTCCTCGTCACGGCGCCTCCGCTCCAGCTCCTGCTGCTGCTCGCGACGGCGCTCCATCTCGTCGGCGCGCCGCCGCTCGGCCTCCTGCTGCTGCTGCTGCTGCTGCTGTTGCTGCTGCTGTTGCTGCTGCTGCTGCTCGCGCCGCCGCTCCAGCTCGTCGGCACGGCGGCGCTCCAGCTCCTGCTGCTGCTCGCGCCGGCGCTCCAGCTCGAGCTCGCGGTGCCGCTTGTGCTCGCGCTCCTGCTGCTTGGAGGCCTCGCGAGCGCGCCGTTGCTGCTGCACTCCGGAGGAGGTGGTGGATGTGGTGGATGTGGTGGCGGTCGTGGGGTTTGCGATGGACGTGGAGGTCGCAAGGTTTATAAAAGAGGTGGGAAGGAGGTGGTGGTGGAAGAGATGGTGGTGGAGTTTGTGATGGACGAGGGGAGGCGGCGGTGGAGGTAGCGGAGGTGATGGATGTGGCGGCGGCAGCGGCAAAGTTGGCGATGGACGTGGGGAGACGAAGTGGCAGAGGCGGTGCAGGGAGACGGACAGGAAGCGGGACGGTAAAAAAAAGACGACCGTAAAAATGTAAAACCATCACCGTCATCGCCATCGGTTACGATCCGCCCGTTTATGGGCGAAGGCCGCCACCCCCCACCAAGCCGCCGCCAAACAACGCTCCACGTGGCGCCTGCCACACCAGCCAATTCCCACCGCCCGACATCAACGGCGGGAGGGAGCCGCCCTCCCCGGCGCGTCCTCTCCTCCTTGCCGCTACTCTGCGCTTCGGGGGGAGGAGGGGGGGGCAGGAGCCGTTTTTTTTTCCCCGCGATCGGTAAAAAATAAACTTCAATATTTCAAGAGCAACGTGACGAATACAAGACGGTGGGGTCCCCTTAATCAATGACGTGACGAATCGGCCGAAGGTTTGCCGATCCCTGGTCCTCGGAATTGTACCGCTGCGGAAAGAGGAACGACGGACGGGCGGATTGGCGAACATCGTCACCACGGTCACCGTCGTGAAGAAAAAATAAATTAATTCGCACTCTTTGGTTCTTTCGGTAAAAAGTCACGAAGTTACCCAACTTTACCGAAACAACCAAAGCGGATGGATTCCTGCAGTCACGAAAGCTTCAAATCAAGACTCTCTAGGAAACTTTCATCGACTGCGCAGCCAATTCCAAACGGCTGTAACTTGTTTTACTGAATGCACGTATGCTGAACTTCTTTCGCACCATACGTATCCAACCGTGCCCAAATCGGAGGTGCGGCTAATCGTAAGGCCAAAATGAAAAAAATGTCTAAACGATGTAACGCAAAGATCCGCCGTATAGCCTTAACAACCTGTTGGGGCAAGTGCTGTTAGCCTAGCAGCACTTCTGAAGCCCGGCACTGTGGCACAGAAGCAGGGCTGGGTGGCCAGCAGACCGACAAGACTCTTGGGATGTTCCTCCTCCTGTGACACAGCTTGGCTCCCCGCTGGTCGTGGCACCGATTGAACACTCCTGTCCATCTTTGTAAGGGGGCGCCTTCCCACCCGCTCCGTCATCTCTCTCACCCTTCCTCGAGCTGTTTGGCCTCTGTTTTCTATTGACTCATAACCCTCCTCCCCCCCGCCCCTTGTTGATTCTGTCCAGTCAACTTCCTTTACGACACCGCTGTTAGCCACACTTTGCGGTTATCTACATGTCGGATCGCTGGGGAAATATCAAGGCGTGAAATCGTCAAATTTCACAGCCGCGTTTCGTCACAGCACGTTTGCCGGCCGCGTGTCGATCGATACACCGATGTCGCTGTATTAAAACGGATTCTTACACTCACGATTCATGCAATGTTGCACCAAAATTAGAGGCCGTTACCATTTGTACGACACGGGGGTGAACAAAACTGCATGAACGTGACGGAGCCAACGAGAAACGTTGCAAACGAGACTGGGAAAGCAACGTGGGGAAAACTGGCCGCGGTCACGCGGCTTGAAACGTAACGTCAACATCGCTAGTCTAATATAAAAAACAAAAACTCCGATGGCAACGGCATGATGTTGGAAAGCGACGTGGAGTTCAGCCGCGTGTGCACCGTTTCTCTTCCCCGTTCACAGTTCCGAGTTTAACACGAACGGACGGAGCCGTCGGGCACCCCCCCCCCCCACCCCGTTCAGAGCCGACAACTCACCTAAACATATAACCGACGGCTTCATGAAACATTTACACGTGGCAGCCACGTCACAGCCTGGTAATCAGTGCTTCCCTTGCGGTCCGCCTCCAACTCCAATTCACAATAAAAGCTGGAAAGCTGTCACGAGCGGCGGTCAGACGCTCAGCGACACGCGCTGGGCGCGCCATCCGGAGGTCGCCGGTTAAATTCCGTCTTCCTGGCAAGCCTCCGTGACTGCTCACCGGTGGCGAGGAGATGTTAACTACCTCGCCTTGCATGCGGGAGGTCGTTGGGTTCGATCCCGACCCTGACGCCCGCTGTATGTTTGGAGTTTGCGTCTCTCTCTCTCTGTGGTTGCGTGGATTTTTCTCCGGGTCCTCCGGTTTGTTACTCCGCATTTGGAATCAACGTCACGGCGTTAAAGAATATATGGCTGCTATAAAATGTCCACGTGATAAAGATACTTTGTTGAGCTATCAATTGTGGCCAGGTCGCTTCTGAATAATAAGTGTATATCCCAGTGTGCTTTGCCTGACAGGACAGGGTTAGTTCAGTTGTATTTGTCTGGGTCAAGTATTGCCGCCAGCCTCGGATCGACTGGGCCGGTTGTTCTCCAGTGCGAGTCGCAAGCAGCAAGACAACTTCATCCGAAAGTCGTGTTCATATCGGATCACAGGTAGGGGGAGTTATTGCGACCCCGTGTTACGGGCGGACGCAGGCGAGTGAGTGGGCGAGTGAGTGGGCGAGTGAGTGGGCGAGTGAGTGGGCGAGCGAGTGGGCGAGTGAGTGGGCGAGTGAGTGGGCGAGTGAGTGGGCGAGTGAGTGGGCGAGTGAGTGGGCGAGTGAGTGGGCGAGTGAGTGGGCGAGTGAGTGGACGAGTGGGTGGGCGAGTGAGTGGGCGAGTGGACGGCTGAGTAAGTGAGTGTGTTGTTGTGACCTGCAGTGTGGTGCTTGAACAGCGTGGATGAGACGTAACGGTGGAGGAATCAATGAGCGATGTTCAGGGCAACGGTTACCGAGGTAGTAGCAACAGGAGGGTAATGCAAGGAGGCGACTGACCGCCGGGCGAGTGAGGAGCGAGCGAAGCGAATGGAGTGAATCAGAGAGTGCTGGATCATCAATCGCCTCCCCAACTGCTTTGCGTTAAATCTTTTATCAAGTACAGAGCTAGCAACTGGCTGCTCCAGCACAGATATGGGTTCGGTGGGCAGAGTGGAGGGCGGAGGTGGAGGAGGGGGTGAGGGAAGGAGGCTGGATGATTGATGAGTGTGTTGGAAGGTTCTTTTTTTACTTTCCTCAGTGCGCACGGTTTTGATTTTGTTCTTGTTCAATCCGTGTGCTCGGAGAAAGCCGACGCACGTACGGCAGGGTACACACACACACTCAAAGCTTCCGCACAGGTGGAGTCAAGAATCCATTGGTGCACTGCCATCATTTGGCCACCTCGCAGCCCAAGCCGACACATATTCTGATTTGCCTCTTGGGGTTGAGCGGAGACGCAATGGGCAACCCGACTTAGATTCCTGGACACAGCTGACATCGGTGGCGGGGCGAGTTCTGAACAGGTCCTGAACGTCCACCCCACCCTTTTTCCTTCGCCAACACAGACTAGCTTGGCGAGGTACGGTCAACCAGTCCCCATGACGTGACGTGGGCAAGACACTTCATCCAACCGTGGATTGGCAAAGCGCGGTGACGTCACGATCATTGCACTCATTCGACCACACTTCACCACCGATAGCAGTCGGTACACGCTGGCGGTGAGGGAATGGCCATGCGCCGCCGGGTTACATCTCCGCAGGGGATCCCCTCGGGAAAATAAAAAAAACCGCGCTGCGGGGGGCGGCCCCGTCAGCGGTGGAGGCGCCGGTGGAGGCGCCGATGGCGGCACCGGGCGGTGGAGGCGGAGAGGGAAGAGGGGCGAGGGAGCGGAGCCTCCAGATGCGAAGTCGCGCTTGACCCTTGACCCCCGACGCAGAAGTCGGACGGCGTTACGCGCCGAGCGAATCTGGCAAGTGCCGTGAGCGAGCGAGCAGCGGGCAGGCGTGGGGGCGCATCGAGGGGCAGAGGAGGGGGGCCTGAGAGGGGTAGAGAGGCGCGTAGAAGAGCCACAAAAGCCACAGCCACCTTTTCTGATCTCCCTGTGTCCATCTCAGTCTCTCCGTCCCCGTGTCCACCCCCCCCCCATGTGTCTCCATCCTCGTCTCAAGTAATTTTACAGCTCCATGTCTATCTCCTTCTGGCTATGTTCCATATCTTCATCCCCCCGTGTCCCTCCCCATCGTGTCCCCCCCCCCGTGTCCCTCCCCCCGTGTCCCTCCCCATCGTGTCCCCCCCCCCCCCCGTCCTCCCTCCCCCCGTGTCCCTCCCCCCCCCCGTGTCCCTCCCCCCCCCGTGTCCCTCCCCCCCCCGTGTCCCCCCCCCCCCCCGTGTCCCTCCCCCCCCGTGTCCCTCCCCCCCCCGTGTCCCTCCCCCCGTGTCCCTCCCCGTGTCTCTCCCCCCGTCTCCCTCCCCCCGTGTCCCTCTCCCCGTGTCCCTCCCCCCGTGTCCCTCTGCCCGTCTCCCTCTCCCCGTCTTCCCGTCTCCCTCTCCCCGTCTCCCTCTCCCCGTCTCCCTCTCCCCGTCTCCCTCCCCCCGTCTCCCTCCCCCCGTCTCCCTCCCCCCCCATGTCCTTCCCTGTGTCTCTATACCCCAGTCCCCACGTAGCCATCTCAGTCTCGACATGTCCCCCAGTCTCCCCCTCGTCTCACCTCCTCGAGGTGCCTCCTCTGCATCCGCTGCAGCTCCAGTCGGCGCTGGCGGTCGGCCTGCAGCTGGCGCTGCACCTCCTCGCGCTGCCGCTGCTGCAGCTGCTGCTCGGCCAGCAGCTGCTGCTGGCGCCGTACAGCGTCGGCGCGCTCGCGCCCGCTCTCCTGCTGCAGCCGCAGGAAATCCTTTCGCAGCGTCGACTCCCCGGCCACGTTCACGATGGAGCTGCGCGGAAGGACACCGAGGGTCGGAGGCGCCGCGCGGAGGGTGCGGCGGGTCGAAAGGTCAACGGTCGAGGGCCGTGTCACGTGGCCGAGCGGGAGGTAGCGCACACTCGCCGCCCGTTGCAGAGGTTTGCGGTTAGAACCCAGCGGGTGCCCTGGTTAATGCTGCCGCGTTTACGAGCCACACAAATTACAATCCGTCTATTTCACTGCGGACGTTAAAGATCCCGTCACGTTATTCTAAGGCCATGTGTGTGCAGGCGTGAGTCTAGAGTACGCCGTGCGAGCCGTCGTAAGCCGAGGGTAGGCTGTGTGTGCCGTCACGAGCCAAGTAGCAAACCTTGGTTCTCCTTCTTGGTGTGCGTCCGTCTCCTCCTCTTCCTCACTTCCACTGTATTCGTACTCTGTCTCATCTGCCACAGGGACGCAGATACAATCATTCCTCCCATTCTCCTTTCCGGAGTGGTGACCAACACTGCCATACGTACAGGCACGCACAAACACAGACCGATAAACACACAGCCCAATAGACACAAAGACCAACATACAGACGGACAGACTAACCAACCAGCAGACATACATCTGACACACAGATGAAAAAACACTGACAGAAAAACAAACACACACAGACCAACCGAGAACCAGGCAGACAGACAGACAGGGTACACGAGGGGATGGGTGGCCAGCAACCACGCACGTCCGCCTTTGTCTCCTCAGTGGCGATGTGTTTTTACACACCGCACCAGGTACTCATTTGAGACCGTGTCGACCTAGGCGAGGCCCAGGACCGGTTCAAATAATCGTCGCTGGCGTTGGTGGCCGTTAGCGGGAATCGAACTTGGGTCGCCGGGTTCGTAGCGCAGTAGCGCGCTAACAGCTGAACGGACTAGGCGGCACAAACGCCGGCGTACGGCCGTGCACACAGACGACAGACGGACGGCCGGTTAGAGGAGCGGCCTGCATGCGTGTACGTTGAGGAGGGGGGGGGGCGGCACGCACCCTTCTCTCCGCGCTTCTTGCGCGTGCGGTCGATGTGGTCCTTGAGCTGGATGCGCACATTGCGCTCGTTGGGCTGCTCGCGGATGAACGGGTGCTTGAGCAGCTGCTCGGTCGAGGGCCGCTGGGTGTAGTTCTTGATCAGGCAGTTCTCGACGAAGCTCAGGAAACGCTTTGACCTGCGCGTCGAGGACGAGGAGATCGCGCTCGTTCGTCAGGGTGGAGGGGTGGGGGAGAGGCTGGTGTGGGTGGCCAAGCACCGGTGGCGATGTTTGCACACCGCACCGGGTACTAATTTGAGGCCGAGTCGACCTAGGCGAGGCCCAGGACCGGTTCAAATAATCTTGACGACTGGTGTTTTGTGGCCGTGAACGGGAATCGAACTCGCGTCGCCGCGTTTGTAGCACAACACGTTAACCGCTGGCCATATACACTTGTAATCGACACACGCTTCGAAGTGACACGCATTTAATCGACACACGCATCAAGCGACACACGCATCAAGCGACACACGCGTCGCACCGCGTACCATTTCTTGGACTTGAGTCGAGGAGGCTGATTTCTCGGGATGAGGAAGAGGGCCCTCATGGGGTGCATGTCGCACAGCGCTGTGGGAGAGTTTGTCAGACGCAACAAAAACCGGGAAAACAAATTGGGAACCGACTACTCGCTACTCTTGTGCTCGTTCACCCGGGGAAGCCTCAACCGAGCCTCATGACACCCTTTTTTCAGGAGCGTCCCCGCAAACTTTTCGCAACAGGGGGGGGAGATGATTTGCTACGTGAGTAATTTTTTTTTGGGGACGGAGAGCGACTCAGCCGTGTGGCATATTACCCCCGAGCTCTGCGTTCCTCTCTATATATCGATTTGTTATCAGCCAACGACTGAGTGTATGTACACGTGGGAGGAAACCGCAGCACTCGAGATAACCCACTACGCGATGCGGGCGTGCGCGCGCGATGGGGCAACGCTCGATCCCATACAGCCGGAATGGGTGGAGTTCGACATTTTTGCCGTGCCCCCTTCTCCAGGCGAGTCGGGGGAGGAGTGGGGGGGGACGGCTCCTCCTCGACCCCCACCCACAATCAGGGGGAGGGGGGAAGAGGGGAGGGGGGAAGGACCTTCGCAACAACATCCGTGTGCGGTGATCCACCAACCGACTCGCTGCCCGCACAAATGCTAGACGAGAGAACACGCATGTGGAGTGTTCTCTAAACGAGAAAACACGCGTGTGGCGTGCGGCGTGTTCTCTAGACTAGAGAACACGCGTGTGGAGTGTTCTCTGGACGAGGGAACACGCGTGCGGCGTGTTGTCTGCACGAGAGAACACGTGTGTGCGGCGTGTTCTCCGGGCGAGAGAACACGCATGTGAGCGTGTTCTCTGGATGAAAGAACACGCGTGTGGAGTGTTCTCTGGATGAGAGAACACGCGGGTGGAGTGTTCTCTGGATGAAAGAACACGCGTGTGGAGTGTTCTCTGGATGAAAGAACACGCGTGTGGAGTTCTCTGGATGAAAGAACACGCGTGTGGAGTGTTCTCTGGATGAAAGAACACGCGTGTGGAGTGTTCTCTGGATGAAAGAACACGCGTGTGGAGTGTTCTCTGGATGAAAGAACATGCGTGTGGAGTGTTCTCTGGTTGAGAGAACACGCGGGTGACGTGTTCTCTAGACGAGAGAACACGCATGTGCGGCGTGTTCTCTAGACTAGAGAACACGCGTGTGCGGCGTGTTCTCCGAGCGAGAGAACACGCGTGTGTAGCGTGGCCACCACCAGCAACAGGACGGGGGGTAACTCACGGGGGGCGCCTTCTGCCATTTCCATCGCAGTGATGCCCAGGGACCACAGATCGCTCTGTCGGGAATAAACACGGAGCGAGGTTACAACCGCCGCCCCCGGCTCCACACGCCGCCGAGCGTCATCGCAGCCCCCCGCCGCGGCCGCATCGTTCACCTCTCCGCTTAAGCGTTCAACAAACTAAAAAAATAAATATATTGTTTTTTTTACACAAGAGGCCCGCTGAGCAATACAGATCTTTGTCAGAAGCGAACTGGCCACGCACACGATGGCTCATCGAAGTGGCTTATATAGTCACGCGTGAGAATTTATAGCAGCCAAATGCTCTGAACGCGTGACAGTGATTCTACGCGTGGAGGGAAACACCGGGGGACGCGGAGAAAAATCCGCGCGACAACGGGGAGAGAGACACACAGGAGTCAGGCGTCGAGATCGAGACCACCGCCTCCTGTGTACCGGACGAGGTGGTTAACGTCTCGCGACCGTGGCACCCAACTCGACAGCCGAGCGAGAGTTGTCGTTATTTTGCGATATCGATCGTCCAATTTGAAAAGCAACGGGAAAGACGGACGACGTCACGTGTTCTACGTGCGACTAACTTCAAGCGGTCCGGCACCCCCATCTCCACCACCCCCCCCACGCTTCTCATCACTCGGCACTCCCTTCGACAACCCGCACCGAACGGCGGCGGCGTTGGTGAAGTATCGTCAAACAACCGCCGGCGACGAGTCGTCGATTGACGGGGGGTGGGGGGGGGGTTTGGCGGGTGCCGTGCATTTATTAACGTCTTTATCCTTCCACAAACGGAAAAAAAAACCTGCAGCGCCTCGGCCGTGGCCATGTGCTTCGAATCGGAGCAGCAACGAAATAAATAAATAACCAAATCGCCACCGCGGGAGAGAGATGAAAAGCCGCCTGCCTCCCTGTTCATCGTTACCGGCAAAAAGCCGAGGGGGCGGTTGTTGTTGCTTTAAAGTTGACCACCCCACGGGCACTCCTGGCCACGGCACCACGAAAACTCGTGCCCACCCCCCCGTGCCCACCCCCCCACCGCAAATTTAATTTCTGTCGAGCGATTCGCGAAGTATGCGAATGACGTCGAAGCGTGCCCAGAGCGACGGCTACGTGAAGCGAGTTTAACGGCAGGCAGATTCGACGGAGGGCAGGATGAAAGAGGAGGGGGGGGGGGAGGGGTGCCACAGTGGCTGGGAGATGTTAAGTCCCTCGCCCGCTATGCAGGAGGTCATTGGTTCGACCCCGACCCTGACGCCTGCTGTATATTTGTAGTTTACGTGGTTGACTCTCTCCCCGTGGTCGCGTGGATTTTTCCCCGGGTCCTCTGGTTGTTCCCTCCACATTCAGAATCGACGTCGCGCGTTTCGAGTATTTGGTTGCTATGAATTTCCACCCGATAAGCCACTTTGTTGCCGAGCCATCAATTGTGGTCAGGCCGCTTCTGAAAAAGAGCTACAGAGCTCAGTGGGCCTTACCTGGTGGAATAAAAATAGCTTAGTTTAGTTTCAGGAGAGACGTGGAGAGACGAAAATAGCAAATCGCACCTTCCAATGGTGTTTTTCGCACAATCTCATTCTCAACGGAGAGCAAGGGAAGATGTGCCATGTTTGCGCTACGCGCGAACCGAGCGAGCGACGGCGGCGGCGGTCGTCACCACGGCAAGAGATTATCGCCGGAGGCCCACGAAGCCCAAGCGCCTCGGGCCTACAAGGACCGGGCCCCACCGACGGCCTCCGCCAACCGGCCGCGGAGGCCGCGAGCGCGTCGACGTACGCGGTAGTCGTAGGTGGCGTCGGGGTTCTCGTCGCAGGCGATGACCTCGGGCGCCATCCAGTAGGGCGTGCCGATGAACGTGTTCCGGCGCCCGACCGTGCGGTCCAGCTGGGCGCTCACTCCAAAGTCGACTGCAGGCGGGGGGGGTAGGGGTGGGAGGGGCAGCCACGGTGAACGAGAGGGTGAGTCGCGACGAGCGCTACGGGGGGGGATCGCGATCTCTCTCTCTCGCTCCCGCGGCAAACACGACTGTTACACGTCGTACCGTTGTGCTGCATCGCTATTCCCCCATGGCCCCGTGCCACCCCACGCCCCCCGCCCCCCCCATGCCCCCCATCCCCCTTACCCAGCCCTCCCACTGTGCCGTCACGAACCCGCAGCAAGTAGAACGGTCAACGCACACGACCCGCACGGTGTGCGGGGAGGTCCGTCGCCCGTCGTCTGAGGATTGACCCACATGGGGCTGCGTGTATGGAGTGTGACACGGGGTGGCGGCCTTGCCGATGTGGCGGAACGGTCCCACGAATGTCCAAGTCCCTTCGAACCATCCGCCCCACCCGCCCGCAGCACCAACGGGCGCACCGACAGTCAGTCGCACGGCGGGGTCGCAGTGCGGTGGCCGCCGGCATGGAGGAGTAGGCCAAGTACCCTCTAGAGGGTCTCTACGCAGCTCCTTCTAGCGGAGGACCCTTCCGCCGGCAGTGGCGCGAGAAAGCCATTGCAGGGCTGCGCCGTTACCATTTTTTTTTGTTTTGGTATGGAGGAGACTCACCGAGCTTCACCTCGGCGTTCTCGGTGAGAAGGACGTTTTGTCCCTTGATGTCCCTGTGGATGACCTTGTGGACGTGGAGGTGAGCCAGACCCTGCAGGTTCGTGCGGGGTTGGGGGTGGGAGACAAGGCACGGGCAGGCACGTCGTTAATTATCGGCGCCGGGAGACATTCCACGCAAGCCCAGGGTGTGCACGAACACTGCGCTATGCGGGGTCTTACATCGCAGTGTTCTTCACTAATATTCAGAGGGTGGGAGGCCACATTCGCCGACAAGACATCATCGGTGCGAGGGGGCTGCCACGCATTTGAAACCATAGAGGGTTTGACAGCACGAGTCGACCTAGGGGAGTCCCGGGAACAGCTCAGATCATCGTTACTGGTGCTGTGGCCGCAAGCGGGTATCCAACACGGGCCGCCGGGTTCGGAGACGGGAGGAGCGGTGGGGAGATTTGATCTCCCTCATGGGATCGATCCCTGACCCCCGACGCATCTTCCGGTTTTCCCTCCACATTCAGAATCAACGCCACGCGTTCAGAGCATTTGTGGCTGCTATGAATGCCCACACGACGACAAGCCGCTTCGTTGGGCTATCGGTTGTGACGGCGAGGTCGCTGCTGAAACAAAGCTGCCTGGATCAGTGAGGCTTTACCTGGTTAAAAAGTCATCTTAGTAGTTTCAGTGGACACACCATCCCCTCCCCCTCCAACCGTTGGTTTGAAAGGCAGCGACAGGAGACGGGGCGTGGGTCAAAGGTGGACAACGTGCTCCTTACCCGGAGGATCTCCCGGCAGATGTAGGCGATCCAGTCCTCCTTGAGGCTGTTGCCCTTCGTGTTCTTCACCAGGTCGGTGACCGAACCGGCGCCGCAGAACTCCATCACCAGCTGACGCGACGGACGGCAAGAGGGCGGGGGGGGGGATGGCAAGGAGGGCGGAGGATGAGTTCGCGTTTAACATTCGTTACGTACGTGTGTTGAACTTCTTTCGCACCGTGCGTTGCCGAGCGAGCCAATCGGCGGTGCGGCTCGTCACGTGGACCTCTGCCTGCAGTCCGCCGACAGGAAGCCGGAATCCAGTTGCCCAGAAGAGGGCGGCAGAGATCACAACCGACGGGCTCTACTTGATGAAGGCCTCGTAGTCGGTGGCGATGTTGCGGTGGTGAGTAGGTGAGTAGGTGAGCGGTGAGGTGAGTGGTGAGTAGGTGAGTAGGTGAGTGGTGAGTAGGTGAGCGGTGAGTAGGTGAGTGGTGAGGAGGTGAGTGATGAGTAGGTGAGTAGCTGAGCGGTGAGTAGCTGAGTGGTGAGTAGCTGAGTGGTGAGTAGGTGAGCGACCCCTCACCCAGAGCTGATCATCGTGCCCCGGCGGGCTCTACTTGATGAAGGCGCCGTAGTCGGTGGCGATGTTGCGGTGGTGAGTAGGTGAGTGGGTGAGTGGTTAGTAGGTGAGTGGTGAGTAGGTGAGTGGTGAGTAGGTGAGTGATGAGTAGGTGAGTGGTGAGTAGGTGAGTGGTGAGTAGGTGAGCGGTGAGTAGGCGAGTGGTAAGTAGGTGCGAGTTGAGTGGTGAGTAGGTGATTGGTGAGTAGGTGAGTGGCGAGTGGTGAGTAGGTTAGCGGTGAGTAGGTGAGTGGTGAGTGGGTGAGTGGTGAGTAGCTGAGTGGTGAGTAGGTGAGTGGTGAGTAGTTGAGAGGTGAGTAGGTGAGTGGTGAGTAGTTGAACGGTGAGTAGGTGAGCGATGAGTTGGTGAGCGGTGAGTGGGTGAGTGGTGAGTAGGTGAGTGGTGAGTAGGTCAGTGATGAGTAGCTGAGTGGTGAGTAGGTGAGTGGTGAGTAGGTGAGTGGTGAGTAGGTGAGCGGTGAGTGGTGAGTAGTGAGTAGGTGAGTAGGTGAGTGGTGAGTAGCTGAGCGGCGAGTAGGCGAGTGGTAAGTAGGTGCGAGTTGAGTGGTGAGTAGGTGATTGGTGAGTAGGTGAGTGGCGAGTGGTGAGTAGGTTAGCGGTGAGTAGGTGAGTGGTGAGTGGTGAGTAGCTGAGTGGTGAGTAGGTGAGTGGTGAGTAGTTGAGAGGTGAGTAGGTGAGTGGTGAGTTGGTGAGCGGTGAGTGGGTGAGTGGTGAGTAGGTGAGTGGTGAGTAGGTGAGTGATGAGTAGCTGAGTGGTGAGTAGGTGAGTGGTGAGTACGTGAGTGGTGAGTAGGTGAGCGGTGAGTGGTGAGCGGTGAGTAGTGAGTAGGTGAGTAGGTGAGTGGTGAGTAGCTGAGCGGTGAGTAGGCGAGTGGTAAGTAGGTGCGAGGTGAGTGGTGAGTAGGTGATTGGTGAGTAGGTGAGTGGCGAGTGGAGAGTAGGTTAGCGGTGAGTAGGTGAGTGGTGAGTGGGTGAGTGGTGAGTAGCTGATTGGTGAGTAGGTGAGTGGTGAGTAGCTGAGTGGTGAGTAGGTGAGTGGTGAGTAGTTGAGAGGTGAGTAGGTGAGTGGTGAGTAGTTGAACGGTGAGTAGGTGAGCGATGAGTTGGTGAGCGGTGAGTGGGTGAGTGGTGAGTAGGTGAGTGGTGAGTAGGTGAGTGATGAGTAGCTGAGTGGTGAGTAGGTGAGTGGTGAGTAGGTGAGTGGTGAGTAGGTGAGCGGTGAGTGGTGAGCGGTGAGTAGTGAGTAGGTGAGTAGGTGAGTGGTGAGTAGCTGAGCGGTGAGTAGGCGAGTGGTAAGTAGGTGCGAGGTGAGTGGTGAGTAGGTGATTGGTGAGTAGGTGAGTGGCGAGTGGTGAGTAGGTTAGCGGTGAGTAGGTGAGTGGTGAGTGGGTGAGTGGTGAGTAGCTGAGTGGTGAGTAGGTGAGTGGTGAGTAGTTGAGAGGTGAGTAGGTGAGTGGTGAGTAGTTGAACGGTGAGTAGGTGAGCGATGAGTTGGTGAGCGGTGAGTGGGTGAGTGGTGAGTAGGTGAGTGGTGAGTAGGTGAGTGGTGAGTAGGTGAGTGGTGAGTGGTGAGCGGTGAGTAGCTGAGTGGTGAGTAGGTGAGTGGTGAGTAGGTGAGCGGTGAGTAGGTGAGTGGTGAGTAGGTGAGTGGTGAGTAGGTGAGTGGTGAGTGGTGAGTAGGTGAGCGGTGAGTAGGCGAGTAGCTGAGTGGTGAGTAGCTGAGTGGTGAGTAGGTGAGTGGTGAGTAGGTGAGCGGTGAGTAGGCGAGTAGCTGAGTGGTGAGTAGCTGAGTGGTGAGTAGATGAGTGGTGAGTAGCTGAGTGGTGAGTAGCTGAGCGGTGAGTAGGTGATTGGTGAGTAGGGAAGCGGTGAGTAGGTGATTGGTGAGTAGGTGAGTGGTGAGTAGGTGAGTGGTGAGTGGTGAGTAGGTGAGTGGTGAGTAGGTGAGCGGTGAGTAGGCGAGTAGCTGAGTGGTGAGTAGCTGAGTGGTGAGTAGGTGAGTGGTGAGTAGCTGAGCGGTGAGTAGGTGATTGGTGAGTAGGGAAGCGGTGAGTAGGTGATTGGTGAGTAGGTGAGCGGTGAGTAGCTGAGCGGTGAGTAGCTGAGTGGTGAGTAGCTGAGTGGTGAGTAGGTGAGCGACCCCTCACCCAGAGCTGATCATCGTGCCCCGGAGGGCTCTTCTTGATGAAGGCGCCGTAGTAGGTGGCGATGCTACGGTGGTGAGTAGGTGAGTAGGTGAGCGGTGAGGTGAGTGGTGAGGTGAGTAGGTGAGTAGGTGAGTGGTGAGTAGGTGAGTAGGTGAGTGGTGAGTAGGTGAGTGGTGAGTAGGTGAGTAGGTGAGTGGTGAGGAGGTGAGTGATGAGTAGGTGAGTAGCTGAGCGGTGAGTAGGTGAGCGATGAGTAGGTGAGTGGTGAGTAGGTGAGCGACCCCTCACCCAGAGCTGATCGTCGTGCCCCGGAGGGCTCTTCTTGATGAAGGCGCCGTAGTAGGTGGCGATGTTGCGGTGGTGTGAGTACTTCTTCAGCATGTTGATCTCCAGCTTGATCTCCTCCTCTTCGTCCTGCCAGACAGAAACGTCGACACAAAGACAAAGACGCACCCCGTGTAGCCTTAGCGGACTGTTGGGGCAAGTGCTGTTCAGCAGCGAGTAGCACCTGTGAAGGCCGGAAAGGCACGCACGAGGAGGTTGGTGGCCAGCACCACGCCCGACCGCCTTTGTCTCCCCAGTGGCGATGTTTACACACAGGGGAGGCCCAGGACCGGTTCAGATAATCGTCAAGGCGTTGACCGTGAGCGGGAATCGAACTCGGGTCGCTAGGATCGTAGCGCAGTGCGCTAACCACTACACTACCACTCCCCAACAACAACAACAACAACCGCCATTCGCCACTAAGTGGCGGTGACGTCACCACGACGCTTGTGCCAGGCCATGTGCACCTTGAGGCCACTCCCCATACACACTCACACACGCAACTCGCACACGGCTGCACGGCTACACACGGGCACGCCACCACTGGGCTATTTTGCCTGGACTACAGATCAGCACATTTTTCACATGTGGAGCAAATAGTTTTTAAAAAGAAGAAGAATAATAAATAACTAAATGAACCAAAGCAGGAACAGAGATAAAAAAAAAACAAGGAATAACACAAAAAAAATTCCAGGCCTCGATTCTTTGCAGATCCCACCCCCCCCCCCCCCCCCAAAAAAAATCTGGTGTCTCGTGACGTTACGGTGAAAGAGCCAACGCAGAAGATCCCTCTGGATTTGATCGCCCACAAAGCTGCTCGCGGTCCAACCCTAAACCTCAACCACTGCACAAACCACGGCAGCAGCAGATGCGGATGCCCAGTGATGCCCAAATGGTAAAATGTTAAAACTCTGCAGTAGTAGTGTGCGGCTGTGGTCATCCAGAACAGCGACGCAATGACCACCTGAATGTATTCGTTGTATTCATTGTCTCTGCCATCTGCATCAGCAGCTGTGGTTGCCTGTTTTCATAGACTCGGTTAGAATGTTGATGGGGTGAGTCGCGGTGGCAAGATGTTAACTCCCTCGCCTGGTACACAGGAGGTTGCAAGTTCGATCCCGACCCCGACGTCTGCTGTATATTTGGGAATCTGCATGTCTATACTCTTAGTTTTTTCGGTAAAGTCACGTAGGTAAAAAATGAAATTATAAATAATAAACGTAATAATAGAAATAAAATAATAATAAATCACGACGTTTCGGAGGCAACACAAGTCTCCGTCATCAGGTGGGACCGTCACAGCTAGATTTGCTGTAGCAGGGATTCTTAAATACAAGTATTTAAGAACTTGCATCTTGGAATCCCTGCCTCACTTGATACAGCAAATCCTTGCAGTCACGAAAGCTTCAAATCTAGGATTAATCTACATGTCTCTCTCCCCGTGGTCACGTGGATTTTTATCCGGGTCCTCCGGTGTTTCCCTCCACGTTTAGAATCGACGTCACGCGTTTAAGAGCATTTGGCCGCTATAAGTTTTCACGCGACAAGCCACCTTGTTGGGCTATTTCGTTGCAGTAGAAAGAGCTACGTAGCTCAGTGGGGCCTTTCCTAGGGATTTGATCGCGCGACCTTCCACTTTGAGTCGCCCGCCTGGTGTACAACACAATGCGGCAGGCGCTGGCTTACACAAACGCCCGCACGCACGCGCGAGGACACACCCATACAAGCAGGTGACCACGACTGGCTGTGCTGCAATTCGCCACAGATCCCCGCTCCCGCGAGCGAACGTCTGAAAGCGTTCGCATGGTCCCCTCGACCCCAGCTCTAAAGCGCCGGGGTAAAACAAAAAAACTTGACGGAACGTCGCTGACCTCTCTCCCACGACGCGTGGTGCGGTTGTGCCGTGGCGTCGTTCGGCACCGCGAGCTGAAAGCGAACCGCACAGTTCGGTTCCTGAATGAGCCCCCCCCCCGTCCCGTCGTCCCAGGCACGTGGAGCGAAACGTCGGACATCGTGCCGAACGCGACGCGCACAACCGCAAAAGAACGCGCGCGGTCGAGGTCGCGTTCGCCGATCGCTCGCGCGGAAACGCATCGAGGAACACGTCTGAGAATTGGCAAAGCCGGCCGCTAATGGGAACTCAAAATCTATTCTAATAATACTTGATTTGGGTTGGTGGTCTGCCTGTAATTAGGCCGTAAATTCTGGGCAGAAAATTCCTCCCGCTCCCAAGACTCCGAAACGAACGATCAAGTCTCGTTAATTCCCGGGAACGGTGGAAAACAAAGTTAATCACGTCGCTGGTTTTCAAAGCGGAAACTTCAAAAGGAATAAGGAGTCATTGTTGGGGACGAACCAGGCCCCCCGCCCCTCTAACGAATTGTGCTTTCTCTCTCTGCGGGAACACGTCGTAAATAAAGCTACGAGTACTTCCTGAAGTTGAAAGCGGCGAGCAATATTCATCATCATCCACTCGTCTCACGAGTTAGCAATCGCATTAATTGTCGAGCAGTGGCTGTCCGTGAAAGCGATTTAACGCGGCGGTGTGCGCGCCGCTTGCGACGTCGCAATTCGCCCGGCTAAACTAAATTGACCAACGATTCATGGCGACGATCCGAGTCGAGGATCGATTAGTTTCGTTCCGCCGTTGCGAACGTCGCGGGTGTAGCTGGCCCAATAATGTGCAAAGACACGTTCACACAAATCGATTTTGCGCATGGTCCTTTGCGATTCCACTGCTTGGTGAAGACCACCCACGCGTGGCACGTTGGTAATGGCGGTTACGTAACCATACTTCACCGTTCTGATCAACGTGGGTTGGTGAAGGGGAGGGGGGAGGAGGATGGGGGCGGGGGGGGCAGGACTTTTTGAGATGTCACTCGTGACCGATGTTGGGCTGTTGGCAGCAATAGAACCTCGAGGTCACTGGGTAAAAAAAAAAAAATCGCCGCACACCAACCACTGCCCCGCTCGCCTACTCCGACCCACGGCGACGGATTTGAATCGCAAAAATATTTTGACCCCCACGCGCGTGACACGTTGTGTCCGACGGTGTCGCGATAGCCGATCGTTGCGGAGGGCCGCGGTTAGTACCAGCCGCCCATCCGGTTAATACTGCGGCGCGAATCGACTGTAAAGACGCCGCCACTTGCCGTCTGCTTTCCTGCTTCTTCTCAGCGGACGGGTTAAAGATCCCCGTGACGTCATCGTTCACGCTTTTCCAAATGACCAATGCGAGATTGTTTCACTGGGATCGAGTAATTTGATGTTGCCAATTGTGATTTTAGTCATGCTGCCTTATTGGCGATTACACAAAGCAACGTCATTCCCTACTGGCGTACTAGTACGTGTCACGGTGCACACAGCCCAACACTGTAAGAACGCCGCAAATACCAAAAAGCACGCGCTTGCGTGGGTGCGTGCGCACGTGTGTGTTTGTGTGTGTACCGTAGTTTAGTGGTAATTACGGAGGGCAAGAGAAGCGACCTTCACAACAACGAGCGGAGCGCCGGGCGGCTAAAACACAGCAAGTTGGCACAGTAGGGGGCATAGGTGGTGCATCGACAAGTCATCTCAGCGAGTCAACCCACGGCACTTGGGTCTGTCCCGTGACCTCTTGCCAGGGGGCATTCGACACTTCACGTGGCCTTACAGTGCACACAGCCTGGCACAAGCGCCGTGGTGATGTCGCCGCCACTTAGTGGCGAACGGAGGTTATTGTAGTTGTTGTAGTTGTGTGTGCGCGTGAAGTCTCTGCCGATGACTTTCATCACGGGCAGTGTTCTCCAGAGCATCTAGAATTATTCACCGCTGCCTTCAGCCAAAACATGTGTGAGATAAGCGAAGCCCAAGGCCTTTTACAGGCACGCAGACGTTAGCCTAGGATGACTATGAATGAACACGTTTAAAAACTGCTCTTAATTCAAACCAAACTTAACGGTTGCATCTTCTTGGTTCTTTGGGTAAAGTCACGTAGAAGGGAAGTAATAAAATAATAAAAATAAAACATAATAAAATAATTCCCACGACGTTTCGGCCACAACGCAAGCAGCCGTCCTCACAGTGTTGGGCTGTTTGCACCGACACGGCTGCTTGCGTTGTGGCCGAAACGTCGTGAGAATTATTTTATTATGTTTTATTTTTATTATTTTATTACTTCCCTTCTACGTGACTTTACCGAAAGAACCAAGAAGATGAATCCCTGCAATCACGAAAGCTTTAAATCGAAACTTAACGGTTGCGTTAACAACCAAAAAACACTAAGCGCATCAACGGCGATGTTTCCAAAGCCACAGCTCAGTCTCAGTAAATGTGAAACGTTCTACGGCAATTGGCGCCACGGTTTTCTCTTTCAAACGACGGCACGACAGCGAGGCGCTAGACGACTTGCTCGTTGACTTGCGAGCGCGTGGCGGAGGCGGCGGCGGCGATGAACATTCTAATTTAACGGCCAGGGTTGCAGCCAAGGCTGCGTGCCACGTAAATCTAAAAAAATAAATCACTTCCAGGGTGGATGAAAGGGAGGGGGGGGGGGAGAAACGAAGAGGAAAAAAACTCTCCCAACATTTATATTTGAGATATACGAGCGGGTTTACGGGACGCGTGATCACGCGTGCGGCGCATCGCAAGCGCGCGCGCGGGCGGCCGCGCGTCACTCGAACCGCGATTTTTTTTTTAGTCGGATCGTTGATCGCGCGAGTCCGAGAATTCTATTTGACAAAAGTATGGAATTAATGGAAATCAGAGGCGGGGGGAGATGGGGAAAAGATGTTCACCGTTTGGTTCCTGCGCCGTGCCTGAAAGCAGCAGCAGCGTTGCTCCTTCAATCTGAACCCAATCAGCTGTTTGTGCCAAGAGCAAAGGCATAAATGTGATTTATACGAGACTGGGAGAGGCGGCGGTGGGGGGGGCGGGGTGGGGAGAAGGGGGTGCTTGTAATCTACATTGATTGTAAGAAACTCCGTCCGGTTGGTCGTCAAGTAGAGGGGCTCATTGTCACCAGATGGAACCAGGAACACCGATCATATTGATCCCGAGCTACATACGACAAACTTTAACCTTTGACCCAAGTGGGTGAAAACCCACATCCT